CCCTGTCGGCCGTTACCACCCCCAGCTCCCTCAAGGTCAGTCCAGTCACTTCAAGGATGCCATCCATCCATCTTGCCCTTGGTCGGCCCCTCTTCCTTTACCTTCCACTTTCCCCAGCATAATTGTCTTCTCTAGGCTTTGCTGTCTCCTCATGATGTGGCCAAAGTACTTCAACTTTGTCTCTAGTATCCTTCTCTCCAGTGAGCAGTCGGGCTTTATTTCCTGGAGGATGGACTGGTTGGATCTTCTCGCAGTCCAAGGCACTCTCAGAACTTTCCTCCAACACCACAGTTCAAAAGCATCTATCTTCCTTCGCTCAGCCTTCCCTAAGGTCCAGCTCTCACATCCGTAGGTTACTACAGGGAATACCATGGCTTTGACTAGGCGGATCTTTGTTGCCAGTCTGATGTCTCTACTCTTTACTATTTTATCGAGACTGGACATTGCTCTCCTCCCAAGAAGTAAGCGTCTTCTGATTTCCTGGCCACAGTCTGCATCTGCAGTCATCTTTGCACCTAGAAATACAAAGTCTGTCACGGCCTCCCCGGTTTCTCCCTCTATTTTCCAGTTGTCAATCATTCTTGTTGCCATAATCTTGGTTTTTTTGATGTTTAGCTGCAACCCAGCTTTTGCACTTTCTTTCACCTTGATTAGAAGGCTCCTCAGCTCCTCTTCACTTTCGGCCATCAAAGTGGTGTCATCTGCATATCTAAGTTGTTAATGTTTCTTACAGCAATTTTAACTCCAAAATGAATTCATCAAGCCCCGCACATCGCATGATGTGTTCTGCATACAAGTTGAATAGGTTGGGTGAGAGGATGCAGCCTTGCCGTACGCCTTTCCCAATCTTGAACCAGTCTGTTGTTCCGTGGTCAGTTCTGACTGTTGCTACTTGGTCCTTGTACCGATTCCTCAGGAGAGAGGGAAGGGGGCTTGGGATGCCCATCCCACCAAGAACTTGCCACAATTTATATGATCCACACAGTCAAAGGCTTTAGAATAGTCAATGAAGCAGAAGTAGATGTTTTTCTGAAACTCCCTGCCTTTCTCCATTATCCAGCGGATATTGGCAATCTGGTCTCTCGTTCCTCTGCCTTTTCTAAACCCAGCTTGAACATCTGGCAACTCTCGCTCCATGTATTGCTGGAGTCTTCCTTGCAGGATCTTGAGCATTACCTTACTGGCATGAGAAATAAGGGCCACTGTACGGAAGTTTGAGCAGTCTTTCGCATTTCCCCTTTTTTGGTATGGGGATATAAGTTGATTTTTCCAGTCTGATGGCCATTCTTGTGTTTTCCATATTTGCTGGCATATGGCATGCATCACCTTGACAGCATCATCTTTTAAGATTTTAAACAGTTCAGCTGGGATCCCGTCGTCTCCTGCTGCCTTGTTGTTAGCAATGCTTCTTAAGGCCCATTCAACCTCACTCCTCAGGATGTCTGGTTCTAATTCATTCACCACACCGTCAAAACTATCCTCAATATTATTATCCTTCCTATACAGATCTTCTGTATAGTCTCGCCACCTTCTCTTGATCTCCTCAGCTTCTGTTAGGTCCCTGCCATCTTTGTTTCTTATCATACCAATTTTTGCCTGAAATTTACCTCCAATGTTTCTAATTTTCTGGAAGAGGTCTCTTGTCCTTCCTATTCTGTTGTCTTCTCCACTTCCATGCATTGCTTATTTAAAAATAGTTCCTTATCTCTTCTGGATAACCTCTGGAATTGCGCATTTAACTGGGCATATCTCCCCTTTTCACTGTTTCCTTTTGCTTTCCTCCTTTCTTGGGCTACTTCCAGTGTCTCAGCAGACAACCATTTACAGCTGGTAATTTTGTCAGCACCGATTGTGTTTAAGTCCAGGCCAAGGTCTTGAGGCACTGCACCCAGTGTGCCGATCACCACTGGGACCACTTTGCAGATGGATCTTTAAATCCTCATATTGTGTCAGCTTTTCCTGTTGTTTGTCTTCAATCCTGCTGTGGTCCTTCCTTCCTTCACCTGAGACTCAGAGCTGCACATGATTCTAAAAACAGCACAAATCTGCAAAGTATAAACCTTAAGCACAAAGTGGTTCATAACAAATGGTGGGAACCATTGGAACCTGCTGTACTTAAAGGCCCGGAGCCTTCCCTTTCTTTTCAGGAGCTTTTCCGGCGTGGAAGCTGTTCTAAGGTTTCCAGTTCTGATCCTAATCTGGACCGGCTTCACTTTTCAGAACAGGAAAGCGGAAAAGCAGCAGCGGAGGCAGCAAAGGCCTCTCAGGTGTTGCCTTGAAACCCTCCTGCATTCAGGCAGATTCCATGGAAGTGTACAAGTCTTAGTAGTTTAACACTGACTGTGTAAGAGGCCCATTCCCTCGTTGTCGTTGTTGCATGCCTTGAAGTTGCTTTTGACTACACTGTGGAATTAATGCAGATTGGCCCCACTTGAAATGCAACGCGGTCCTGAGAGTTGTAGTTTTGCAAGGCCTTCTCTGGCAAAGAGAGTGGATGTCTTGCCAAATAGTAATAACAATGGGTTGCTGTGAGTTTTCCGAGCTCTCTGGCCATGTTCAGAGGCATTCTCTCCTGATGTTTGGCCCACATCTATGGCAGGTGTCCTCAGAGGTTGTGAGGTCTGTTGGAAATGAGGCAAGTGGGGTTGATATGTATTCTTGTGGAAGAAAGCACTCTTGTTTGTTTGAGGCAACTGTGAATGTTGCAACTGGCCACCTTGATTAGCATTGAATGGCCTTGCAGCTTCAAAGCCTGGCTGCTTCCTGCCTGAAGGAATCCTATATATCTGTGGAATGATGTCCAGGGTGGGAGAATGTCTGCCTGGGGGAATCCTTTGTTGGGAGGTGTTAACTGGCACCTGATTGTTTGCTGTCTGCCTGGGGGAATCCTTTATTGGGAGGTGTTAACTGACACCTGATTGTTTGCTGTCTGCCTGGGGGAATCCTTTGTTGGGAAGTGTTAACTGGCACATGATTGTTTGCTGTCTGCCTGGGGGAATCCTTTGTTGGGAGGTGTTAACTGGCACCTGATTGTTTGCTGTCTGCCTGGGGGAATCCTTTGTTGGGAGGTGTTAACTGGCACCTGATTGTTTGCTGTCTGCCTGGGGGAATCCTTTGTTGGGAGGTGTTAACTGGCACCTGATTGTTTGCTGTCTGTCTGGGGGAATCCTTTGTTGGGAGGTGTTAACTGGCACCTGATTGTTTGCTGTCTGCCTGGGGGAATCCTTTGTTGGGAGGTGTTAACTGGCACCTGATTGTTTGCTGTCTGCCTGGGGGAATCCTTTGTTGGGAGGTGTTAACTGGCACCTGATTGTTTGCTGTCTGCCTGGGGGAATCCTTTGTTGGGAGGTGTTAACTGGCACCTGATTGTTTGCTGTCTGCCTGGGGGAATCCTTTGTTGGGAGGTGTTAACTGGCACCTGATTGTTTGCTGTCTGCCTGGGGGAATCCTTTGTTGGGAGGTGTTAACTGGCACCTGATTGTTTGCTGTCTGGAGTTCCCTTCTTTAGTTACTATCTTGATTTTGGTGTTTTTTCAATGCTGGTCACCAGATTTGGAGCCCCCAGTGATGAGTTGCTGAACTTGCTGATCAAAAGGTTACAGGTTCAAATGTGTGAGCTCCCGCTGTTAGCCCCAGCTACTGCCAAACTAGCAGTTCAAAAACATGCAAATGTGAGTAGATCAACAGGTACCTCTCTGGCGGGAAGGTAACAGCGTTCCATGCAGTCATGCTGGCCACATGACCTTGGAGGTGTCTACGGACAACGCTGGCTCTTCGGCTTAGAAATGGAGATGAGCACCAACCCCAGAGTCCAGGCACGACTGGACTTAATGTCAGGGGACAACATTTACCTTGACCTATTAATATTAATATAGTAAAATAATGATGTCTCTCTATATAAAAGTCAAAGTATGTTGGTATGTGTGTCTGTTTGTCTGTGTGTCCCACTAGGCTGTGGGTAGGTGAAGTGGCCCTCTGTGATGTCACTGGGAAGATGGAGGGGTATGTGTTTGAAGGGAAGAGGGAAGGCAAGAAGGGAGACAGAAGGAAAGGGAAAGAAATAAAAGCAAGGAAGGAAGAGCCAGGAAAGGGAAAAAGGCAGGAGGAAGGAGGGAGGAGAAGGGAAAGAAGGAAGGAAGGAAGGAAGGAAGGAAGGAAGGAAGGAAGGAGGAGAAGGGGAAGGGAAGGAAGGAAGGAAGGGAGGGCGGGAGGGAAGGGAGGGAGGAGAGAAAGAAGGAAGGAGGAAAGAGAGGAAGGGAAGGAAGGAAGGAAGGAAGGAAGGAAGGAAGGAAGGAAGGGAGGGAGGGAGCGAAAGAGCAAGGGAAAGGAAGGGAGGAGGGAGGAAGGAAGGAAGAGAGGAAGGAAGGAAGGAGGAGGGAGGGAGGGAGGAAGGAAGGAGGAGGAAGGAAGGAAGGAGGGAAGGAAGGAAGAAGGGAGGGAAGGAGGGAGGGAGGGAAGGGGAGGAAGGAAGGAAGGAAGGAAGGAAGAGAGGAAGGAAGGAAGGAAGGAAGGAAGGAAGGAAGGAAGGCAGTAGATGGGTCATGTGGTATCTTATATAGGTATATAGGTTTGATGTGTAGCTCACCAACCCTAGGACTGGAAGAGACCCCAAAGGCCATCTGGTTCCACCCATACAGATTTCCCTAAAAGATACCTCCTGACAGATGGCCACCCAGCTTCTGCTCCCTCAGCTGCTCCTCATAGGGCTTGGCTACCAGACCTTGGGTTGCCCTCCTCTGGACAGGTCAATATCCACTTCCTGGGTGGCTTTGCCAAGGACTGGACATGGGGTTATGATGATTATTCCAGGTGAGAAGATCTGCCCAAAGTAGAAGGAGAGAGGGGCACTGTGATGTCCATTAGTCCTATGGATTTGGCCCAGAAGTGCATTGGGCTTTTCCGCTGCCGTATCACATTGTGGGCTCACCCTTAAGCCGTGTGCCCCCCCCCCCCAGACCTGGGCATTTTAAAGTCCTAACCCTTCTTCCTTCTATCCGCAGGAGACCCGGTGGACGTCCTGAAGGCCCTCCAGTTCCAGAAGCAGCCCGAAGGAGTGCGCAAAGTGGCCGGCCTCTGCCCCAAGCGGCGCTCTGGATCGGGGCCCGATGTGGCCTTCCGTGTCTCCCGCCAGGCCCAGATCAGCGCCCCCACGCGGCAGCTCTTCCCAGGTGGGCCACGGGGAGACCCTCCACCACTCACTCACCATTGTGATTCCCGTGATGGGATCCTAGGAGGGAAGGGACCCCCAGGGGCCATCCAGACCAACCTCCTTCTGCCACAGAGGGAGACACTGTCCAAGCCCTCCTGACAGCTCTTCCCAGGTGGTCCTTGGGGTGGGCCATAGGGAGACCCCAATAGATCAGGCATCATCATGACCATGATCATGAGACTCAAGGGATCCTAGAGCTGGAAGAGACCCCCAAGGACCATCTAGACCAACCCCCTTCTGCCGTAAAAGAATACACTGTCCAAGCCCTCCTGATGGGTCTGGATTTGGGGGCTGAAGATCCCAATCTCATGATCATGAGACTCCTAGGCTCCTAGAATGGGACCCCCAGGGGACATCTTTGGCCATGACAGAATCCGAGTTTTCCTGACAGTTTGGTCCAAACGCTATCATGATCATTATCGTGATCATTAGACCCATGAGATCCTATTGCTGGGAGGGACCCCCAGAGGAAATCCAGACCAACCTCCTTCTGCCATAAAGGAAGTCAGGAAGACACAACGCAAGTCCTCCTGACAGCTCTTCCCAGGTGGGCCAGTGGACCAGGCACTATTGTTGCTGTCATGATCATGAGACGCATAGGCTCCTAGAACTGGAAGGGGTCCCCAAGGGCCATCCAGTCTAACTTCCTTTGGCCAAGCCCTTCTGATAGCTCTTCCCAAGTGGGCCAAAGGAAGACCCCAGTAGATCTGGCATTGTTGTTGTCGTCATCATCCTCATTATCATCATGATCGTGAGGCTTATAGCATCCTAGAGGTGGGACTCCCAGAGGACACCCAGACCAACCTCCTTCAACATAAATATAGATGCAATCCAAGTCCTCCTGACAGCTCTTCCCTGGTGGGCCTTAGGGTGGGCCAAAGGGAGACCCCAATAGATCAAGCATCATCATGACCATGATCATGAGACTCAAAGGATCCTAAAGCTGGAAGAGACCCCCAAGGGCCATCTAGACCAACCCCCTTCTGCCGTAGAAGAAGACACTGTCCAAGCCCTCCTGATGGGTCTGGATTTGGGGGGTGAAGACCCCAATCTCACTCTCTTTCCATGAGTTTAGGTTTGCCAGAGATGAGGATGAGGATGAGAATGAGTCTTTGCAAAGAAATTTACCTGAGACACCACTGAGTGCTTCAGTCATGTATTTAGATTTCTAATTCCTGATGGAGAAGAAGCCATCGGAGCTTTCAAAGCTTGCATCTCACATTTTGTGCCCATTGGGTTGGCTGAAGAAAGGTAAGTCTGGGCCCTTCTACACTGCCATATAAAATCCAGATTATCTGCTGTGAACTGGATTATAAGTCAGTGTAGACTCATATACTGATATAATGTGGATTATCTGCTTTGATAGCCTGGATCATATGGCAGTGTCGAAGGGGTCTCTGGTTTGTAGATTATGGATGTTGTTGTATTTTCCTGTGTGGCATATATTGAGAGTCTAATGTGGTGGCAATGGTGGTGATGATGGCATCTCCCAATTCTTGTGGCTGTCTTAGGTTACTTGAGAGCCTGCTATAGCTTTAGCATATAGAATGAAGATAGCAGAGGTGTCTCCTCTTCCATGGCCATGTCACCTCCTTCCTCGTCCTTCTTCTCGCAGGCAAATTCCCGGAGGACTTCTCCCTGATGGCGCTGGTGAAGCCCAAGGCGGGCCTGCAAGCCTTCTTGCTCTCCATCTACAACCAGGACGGGATCCAGCAGCTGGGCCTAGAACTGGGGCGCTCCCCAGTCTTCCTGTATGAGGACCAAAGTGGGCGCCCGGCCCCCGAGGACTACCCCATCTTCAAGGGGGTCAACCTGGCCGATGGCAAGTGAGTGACTGCCCTCCCTCCCTCTGCACTGATGCCCTGCAATCTCATAGAAGGGGTCCTCAAAGGCCATCTAGTCCAGCCTCGTCTTGCCATCTTGAAGTCCCGCGAAGGGTCCACCCAACCTCCATTTAAGGGCCTCCAAAGCAGGAGAGTCCATGGCCTTCCCAAGTACTCCATCACCCATTAGAGTTGGAAGTGACCCCCAAGGGATCCACCCAGCCTCCATTTAAAGGCCTCCAAAGGAGAATCCATGGTCTTCCCAAGTAGTCCCAAGAGTTGGAAGGGATCCCCAAAGGCCATCTAGTCCTGCCAACTGAAGTCATTTAAAGACCTCCAAAGAAGGAGAGTCCATGGCCTTGCCAAACAGTCCATCACCCATTAGAGTTGGAAGGGACTCCCAAGAGCCATCTAGCCCAACCCTTTTCTGCCAACTGAAGTCATCCTTTGAGAGGTCCACCCAACCTCCATTTAAAGACCTCAAAGAAGGAGAGTCCATCACCTCCCACAGTAGTCTATCTCCTATTAGAGTTGGAACGGATCCTGAGGGTCATCTAGTCCAGCCCCTTTCTGCCAACTGAAGTCATCCTTTGAGAGGTCCACCCAACTTCCATTTAAAGACCTCCAAAGAAGGAGAGTCCATCACTTCCCAAAGTAGTCTATCACCCATTAGATTTGAAAGGGATCATGAGGATAATCTAGTCCAATGCCCTTCGGCCAGCCAGAAAGACACAACGGAAACATCCCAAGAGATGTTCACCCAACCTTCACTTAAAGACCTCCAAAGAAGGAGGGTCCACTGTCTTGCAAAGTAGTCTATTATCCACTAGAATTGGAAGGGACCCCCAAGGTCCATCTAGTCCATCCCCTTCCTGCCAACTGAAGTCGTCGTTTGAGAGGTCCATCCAAATTCCATTTAAAACCTACAGAAAGGGGTTTCCATCACCTCCCAAAGTAGTCCATCACCCATTAGAGTTGGAAGGGATCCCAAGGGTCATCTAGACCACCCCTTGCTGGCCAGCAAGGAAGACACAACCGAAACACCCCAAGACATATTCATCCAGCCTCTCAAAACAGGAGAATCCATCCTCCCCATGAAAGGGGTAGAATCATAGAATCCTAGAATCCAAGAGTTGGAAGAGACCTGGTGGGCCATCCAGTCCAACCCCATTCTGCCAAGAAGCAGGAATATTGCATTCAAAGCACCCCTGACAGATGGCCATCCAGCCTCTGTTTAAAAGCTTCCAAAGAAGGAGCCTCCACCACACTCCGTGGCAGAGAGTTCCACTGCTGAACGGCTCTCACAGTCAGGAAGTTCTTCCTCATGTTCAGATGGAATCTCCTTTCTTGTAGTTTGAAGCCATTGTTCCGTGTCCTAGTCTCCAGGAAGCAGAAAACAAACTTGCTCCCTCCTCCCTGTGGCTTCCTCTCACATATTCATACATGGCTATCATATCTCCTCTCAGCCTTCTCTTCTTCAGGCTAAACATGCCCAGCTCCTTAAGCCGCTCCTCATAGGGCTTGTTCTCCAGACCCTTGATCATTTTAGTCGCCCTCCTCTGGACACATTCCAGCTTGTCAATATCTCCAATTGTGGTGCCCAGAATTGGACATAATATTCCAGGTGTGGTCTAACCAAAGCGGAATAGAACATGGAGAGCATGACTTCTCAGTCGGTTCCTTGAGCTGTCAAAAGGGAAGTCAGACTGGATGACCTCAGAGTATTCTGGGATTCTAGGATTCCTTGCAGTGGGGGAAAAAGTAGGGAAATAATGGGTTGGGGATGTGGCTTTAAGCATCCCAATGCCCACCTACAGAAATTGGGGCAAGGAAGGGGCATGAATATGGGGCAGGGCTCAAACAAAACTCTGAGGTGTGCTCCAAGGCGTGTCCCGTCAGACTTCGCAAAGTCTTGCAAAGGAGAGGAAAGCCACCGGGATGCTTTCAAAGCATCTGGAGAAAAGGGACAGCAGAGGATTCCCTTCCAAGTCTCAGCCGGAGTGAAAAACCCATATATTTCCCCGCAAACACTCCAGGATGTCCGAATACCAGGAGCAGGCCGCTCTGTTATTCCTATTCCAGACATTTGGTCAGCTGTTTTCCAGCCGGCAGAAGACATAAGGCTGGGCATTCTTTCCATGTGTCGCCCGGGAGAGGCCTTTGGGCAGGAGCCGCGCTGCCTCTTGGCCAAGGCCCTTGGGATCCCCACCGCTGCCCAGGGATCATGGCCACGCCCCTTGGCCCCGTCCACACTGGGCATTTCATGCAGTTCAAAGCCAGAGCCAGGCTGTGGTGGCCAGACAGCGAATGACCAGGAAAGTGGGTGAAAGAAAGAACAAAAGCAAGCAAGGAAGCAAGCCCTTCATGTGCATCGTGCTTTGTGCCATCACCACCCGGGTTCCGGGATTTCCTATATAATCCTATCCATGGCAAAAACACTTTTGTCAATGCTGGTTTGGAACTGGATTAAGTGGTCAGTGTAGATACCTGAACGATCCCACTTCCGTCTCCGAAAGGGAATTAGTCTCTGTGCAGCCTTTGGGGTTCCCTCAGCTTCCGCTCCCATTCTCAGTTAACTGGCATTTACACAACTGGAACTCCCAAACAACCAGCAAGTCAATACAGGATTTACAGTCTGGTCCTTTTCCGAACGCGCGCATTCCGAATGCAGGCCTTTCCAACATGCCCGTTCTTTCTAAATGCAGGAGGTCTGGTTGCCAATGTGTGCCTTTCATAGAATCATAGAATCAAAGAGTTGGAAGAGACCTCCTGGGCCGTCATCCAGTCCAACCCCATTCTGCCAAGAAGCAGGAATATTGCATTCAAATCACCCCTGACAGATGGCCATCCAGCCTCTGTTTAAAAGCTTCCAAAGAAGAGCCTCCACCACACTCCGGGGCAGAGAGTTCCACTGCTGAACGGCTCTCACAGTCAGGAAGTTCTTCCTCATGTTCAGATGGAATCTCCTCTCTTGTAGTTTGAAGCCATTGCTCCATTGCGTCCTAGTCTCCAGGGAAGCAGAAAACAAGCTTGCTCCCTCCTCCTCCCTGTGGCTTCCTCTCACATATTTGTACATGGCTCTCATATCTCCTCTCAGCCTTCTCTTCTTCAGGCTAAACATGCCCATCTCCTTAAGCCGCTCCTCATAGGGCTTGTTCTCCAGACCCTTGGTCATTTTAGTCGCCCTCCTCTGGACACATTCCAGCTTGTCAATATCTCTCTTGAATTGTGGTGCCCAGAATTGGACACAATATTTCAGGTGTGGTCTAACCAAGGCAGAATAGAGCATGGGGGGCATGACTTCCCTGGATCTAGACACTATGCTCCTATTGATGCAGACCAAAATCCCTTTGGCTTTTTTTGCCGCCACATCGCATTGTTGGCTCATGTTTAACTTGTTGTCCACGAGGCCTTTCCAAATGCCAATTCTTTTCCTCATGCATGCATTTCTAACGGGGGCACTCTTCTACGCCAATGGGCCTGGCAAAGCGCTGGCTCTTCTTCTAACAATTGCCTGGGTTTCTTTGAGTGTGTTGCACCCACTTTGGATCCTCTGGGCACTCTCCAAGGTGCTGAGCCTACATTGGCAGTTCAGAGCCTCTGGGTTGACCCCAAAGACAGTTCGGACCAAAACATGGGGTGGATTCCCTGTGTCATGGACATGGAGTGGGTTCCCTGATGTCAGGATCTCTAGAGCAGGATCCGGAGCAACCATACAGGTCAACTTCTGCCAAACGCAGAATTGGTCATGAAAGGGCTGTCTAAATGGAATGGCCTTTGAGCAGGTCTTTGAGCAGAAGGTGGACGGTCATCTATCAGGAGGGATTGGATGCTGCCTTCCTGGACTGGGTGACCTTCAGGGCCTCTACTAACTCTAGGATTGTATGAAAAAGGGAGGAAACATAGCTCCTAGGCCAGTGGTTCTCAACCTGGGGTCCCCAGATGTTTTTGGCCTACAACTCCCAGAAATCCCTGCCAGTTTACCAGCTGTTAGGATTTCTGGGAGTTGAAGGCCAAAAACATCTGGGGACCTCAGGTTGAGAACCACTGTCCTAGGCCTTCTTCTCTGAGATCTTAAAGGGAGAGAGACGGCCTTATGGATATCCTAGATGGATCCAGGCTAAGCTTGTTGCCCACCTCTCTCTCCTTCCTTCCTTCCTTCCTTCCTTCCTCCGCCTACGTAGGTGGCACCGGGTGGCCCTGAGCGTGAGCAAGAAGCAGGTGACCCTGATCCTGGACTGCAAGAAGAAGGTGACGCGGCCCTTGCCCCGGGGGAGCCACCCGGCCATCGACACCCGCGGCATCACCGTCTTCGGGACCCGCATCCTGGACCAAGAGGTCTTCGAGGTAGGCCTCCCTTCAGGATCGAACCGGCACTGTTCGAGACACCCTAAGAACCTTGCAAAACCACAGCTCCCAGGATCCTACAGCATTGAGCCGTATCAGTTACGGTGGTGGGTCAAGCTGTATTCATTCTATGGCAGATCTGCATGACATATGGCCTGTAGGCCGGATGTGGCCTCCAAGGGGTTTTTTTGGTGGCCCTCTTGAATTATCATGGCTCCATGGAACACCCAGGAGTTGTAGTTTTGCAAGGTCTTTAGCTTTCTCTGTCAAAAAGGGCTAGTGCCTCATCAACTAACAACTCAATGAAGAGGTGGCTTTGATCTAGATCAAGCATGGACCAACTTTGGCCCACCCTCCAGGTGTTTTGGACTTCAACACCCACAATTCCTAACAGCCTACCTGGAGGAGAGGCCAAAGTTGGCCCATGCCTCATCTAGACTCTCCTATGGATGCTACCTGGAATTGCCTTGAGCTGCTACATCCCACTGTGGGCTTGTGTGACCCCTGTTTCCTCCTCGCAGGGTGACATCCAGCAGCTGCTGATCTCCTCCAGCCCCCAGGCCGCCTTTGACTATTGCGAGCGCCACAGCCCTGAGTGCGAAAAAGACACCAATCGACCCCAGGCCCAGGAGGCCCAGCAGAGGCCCAGCCGGACACAGGTGAGGAGGCAGCGGGTGGGAGACGTAGTTCCCCATGGCTTCACCTGGCCCACCCCCTTTGTGATGTCTAGAACTTCAGCCAAGTCCCCTTGTCGACACCAAAAAAACATGGTTGCGTTGTTTGTATCAGCTATATGTTATTGTCTTTATTAATATTATTAATAATAATAATTTATGTCACACAGCCATATAACCCAGAATATCAAGGCAGACGATCCACAATATCTGGTTCTAACTGGAATATCTGAGTCCACACTGCCATTATAATCCGGTTGAACATGATCATCCATGGATTTCAGTACCCATGTCCATGTCCATGTGTGGAAGGGGCCTGAGCTTTCTGAAGGTGCATCTACATTGCAGAATGAATGCAGCTTGAGTCCGCTTTCAACCCAAGGCTCAATGCTAATCACATGAAACTGCAGCTCCCAGGATCATAGAATCATAGAATCATAGAGTTGGAAGGGACCTCATGGGCCATCCAGTCCAACCCCATTCTGCCAAGAAGCAGGTATATTGCATTCAAAGCACCCCTGACAGATAGCCATCCAGCCTCTGTTTAAAAGCAAAGAAGGAGCCTCCACCACACTCCGGGGCAGAGAGTTCCACTGCTGAACGGCTCTCAAAGATCTTCCTGATGTTCAGATGGAATCTCCTTTCCCATAGCATTGAGCCAGGGAGGTTAAGGTGGTCCCAAACTGCATTAAGTCTACAGTGCAGATGCACCCCAAGAAGCCACCAAGAGGACAAGGAAAGAATTAGGTAAATACCTTGGACCCTTGCTCTCGGCCTTAGCTTGATTCATAAATAAATAGATAAATAAATCTCTTTATGTTGCCATTGCTAGGGAAAACTGTCCAAAAGTATAACGGAGCATCCAAAAACAAACAGGATACTATGTTTTTAAATTTGTTTTATTGTATGATTTTATAAATTTGTTTTAAATGTTTTAAATGATATATTGTATACTGTTACGACATCAAATGGCGGCCAGGTTGTAAGCCGTCTTGAGTCACCTTCGAGCTCGAGAAAGACAGGATACAAATATCATAAATAATAAATAAATAAATTCAAGACATGGACATGGACACACATATCCCGTAGATATTGAAATCCATGGATGACCAAGCTCCACTCTATTCAGTGGTGTCCGATATATATAAAATGGCAAAATCATATATTTTCAAGCTGTGGATGGTTGAGTCCATGGATGCAGAATCAGTGGGTACGGAGGGACGTCTGAACATGGGATTTATATTTGTGAATGCTCATGCAAAACTGAAAACCAGGTACTCTTAAAGGTATGCCTTTTTAGTCTCTCTTGAGAGTAGGAAGTGGGAAATGATGGGAGTTGTAATGACACAAAGACCATTAGGGGTCCTTAGCTCTCTCAGGGTGAGAAAGCAACACCAACTGCATAGGTAACTCTACCTGGAAGTTACCATACAATTCAACACACAGGTAAATCTACCTGGAAGGAACTGTAACACGCAGGTGCAGAAATACAGCTCCCAGAATTCTCCCATTGGGAGTCCGCAATGGCTGTGCTGGACACAGGATGATGGGAGTTGTAATCCACTAGATGTCCACAGATCTCTCAGGTTTAGCACAGCTAACTCTACCTGGAAGTTACCATACAATACAACACACAGATAAATCTACCTGGAAGGAACACTCAGGTGCAGAAATACAGCTCCCAGAATCCTCCCATTGGGTGTCCACAATGACTGTGCTGGACACAGGATGATGGGAGTTGTAATCCACTAGATGTCCACAGATCTCTCAGGTTTAGCACAGGTAACTCTATCTGGAAGTCACCATACAATTCAACACACAGGTAAATCTACCTGGAAGGAACTGTAACACTCAGGTGCAGAAATACAGCTCCCAGAATCCTCCCATTGGGTGTCTGCAATGGCTGTGCTGGACACAGGATGATGGGAGTTGTAATCCACTAGATGTCCACAGATCTCTCAGGTTTAGCACAGGTAACTCTACCTGGAAGTTACCATATAACTCAACACACAGGTAACTCTACCTGGAAGTTACCATAAAATCCAAGTCCAGGGCTACATCTCCCAGAATCCTCCCATTAAGACGTGCTGCCCAGGGGATGATGGGCGTTGTAATCACACATTTCCAAGCTCGGAGAAAAAGAAAGGTTATTTTGAGAAGTGTAGTGAGACTTCCCTGCTCTCTTGCTCTCCCCAGTTCTCCTATGAGGAAGTGGCCCTGGAGGAGGAGGACTATGGCATTGATGGGGAGGAATGGGAGGACTCCCTCCCCTCCTGGCCTCTGGGGGAGCAGGTAAGGGGAGGGGCCACACAGGCTCCGCCCCCAAAGCCCCTGTCTGTCCATCCGTCCATCTGTCCCACCTGGGAGTCTGTCCTCATGTTGTGACGTCAGGGCTCACTCATTTGTATGTGCATCCATCTCCATCCGTTCATCCATCCATCCATCCGTCTCCATGTGTCTTTTTTTGCAGCAGCGCAATAGGTGGGGAGGGGGCTGCCAGGGTGGGAAAGGGAGCCCCAAAGAAAGGAAATGCACAGGCAGAGGATGGGGGCCTCCTGGCTCAGAGACAGCGAGGAAAGGACCCAAGTGTCTCAGGAGAACGCAAGATGAGGATGAGCCCAATGCGATGACCCTTTGAGCTCCATGGTCCCTTTCCCAAGTGTCTCAGATGAGGATGAGCCCAATGCGATGACCTTTTGAGATCGTTGGTCCCTTTCCCATGCACCGTTTCCAAGCCAGGTGTCCCCCACCCTATATCTCTGCATTTGATATTTATTGATGAGAGTTGTAGTATAGATTTAAAATTTCTTCCTGTTGAAATTCATTTTGCCGAAGGGCCACTGCTAAGAAGGCCCTGTCTCTCATTTTTCTAGTTTTGGCATCAGTTGTCTAATCTGTGATGGTGGTTTCGGATCCCAATCCTGTCCTTTGGGGTATTTATTATTATTATTATTATTATTATTATTATTATTATTATTATTATTATTATCGGAGCCTCCGGTGGCGCAGTGGGTTAAACCCCTGTGCCGGCAGGACTGAAATCCGACAGGTCGCAGGTTCGAATCCGGGGAGAGGTGGATGAGCTCCCTCTATCAGCTCCAGCTCCTCATGCGGGAACATGAGAGAAGCCTCCCACAAGGATGATAAAAGCATAAAATCATCCGGGCGTCCCCTGGGCAACATCCTTGCAGACGGCCAATTCTCTCACACCAGAAGCGACTTGCAGTTTCTCAGGTCGCTCCTGACACGACAAAAAAAAATTACTTACTATATTTCTATACCGCCATTCCCAGCCCGAGGGCAACTCAGGGCGGTTTACAAAACGGCACGATTTGATGCCCACAATAATATAAAAACAGTTAAAAACATATAACATACATAGAATTCAATAAGCAATAGAACCAATAAAAACATAGATCCTCCGCATCTCATTACCAAAATCATTATCCAGTAGTTCTGAGGTCAGGAATTATCTGCCACACTGCTGCTCAAAAAGCCAGGTTTTGACTATTTTACAAAATGTTAAGAGGGTGGGGGCCGATCTAATGTCCCTAGGGAGGGCACTCCACAGCTGAGGGGCCACCACTGAGAAGGCCCTGTCTCTCGTCCCCGCCAACTGAACCTGTGAAGAAGGCAGGACCAAGAGCAGGGCCTTCCCAGAAGATCTTAAATTCCTGGATGGTTCATAAGGAGAGATATGTTTGGACAGATAAGCAGGGCCAGAACCGTTTAGGGCTTTATAGGCTAAAGCAGCGGTTCTCAACCTGGGGGTCGCGACCCCCAGGGGGGTTGCTGGGGCATGTTCTGGAAGTCGTGAAGGCACCTCGGTTGGCCCTGGCAGTGGTGCAAGGCAGGCGAGGGCCCCTTGGGGCAAGACCTTGCCTTTCCCGAGGCCTCCCTCGTGTCCCTCACACTCCTGCCAGCCCTGTTCGGTCTTACGACTGACCAGGAGGACCTCTGTCTTGTCTGGATTGAGTTCCAATTTGTTCGCCCTCATCCAGACCATCACGGCGGCCAAGCACCGGGTATGAGTTGGCTTTTCTTCTTAATTGAACATTGCTTTTTCTTCTTATTGTAAGGAACATTGTTTGCTTCCTTAACTTAAGAGTCATTGTCTCTGGTAATGTAAACATGTTGTTTTCCACCAAGAGTTAATCATTTGTCTCTGGTCATCAATGTCAGCAATTCTCGTCAACTTTCAATTATAGTTCAGCAGTTCACCTCTTTTTGTAATTTCTTAGGGTGGCATCTCTAGGTCCCAATCATACAGCTTTCATAGAATTTTATTCATGTATATTCATCACAAGGGGAAGGAAAGGGAGAAAACAAAACTTTGATCCTTGATGTGGGGCCAACACCCTCCAGGCCCTGTCCTCCATTGTTGTTGCTGCTGCTGTTGTCGGAATCATGCCTGTGTTTGTCTTTGCTCCTTGTGCTGTGTTGTCCGTGTGCCACCACCGCTCCTCCGTCATTCTCATCGCTGCCTCCTCCATCCTCATCCTCATCATCGCCACTTAGAAAGCGTCCAAGGGCAAGGCCCCCGCTGCCAAACCCCAACCCAAATCCAAGCCGCCCCAGAAGCGCCAGCTGATGGGCACGGCGCCCAGCGCTGTCAAGAACGGGGCCAAAAACGGGGCCAAAAATGGGGGGAACAGCTCCAAAGCTCCTGGGAACGGGAAGTCCTTCAATGGCGGAGGCAAGAGCGCCAAGGCAACGCCCTCCAAACCCACGAAAAGCCCCCCGCCCCGATCCGGGGGCCGACACGTGCAGGCCAGCGTTGGTGGATCCCGGCCACGGGGCAACAGTTACCAGCAGGTAGAGCCAGAGGGAAGGATGCAGGCCTCAGTAGGGTCGCGGCCTGGGATCCCCCCTAAAAAGAGGGCACGGCACCTCTCTGACCCCTTCCAAGACCCCTCATCCACCTCATCTGTTCGTGTCTGTGTGTCTTTGTCACATCCATGTCCCCGTCGTCCATATGTCTCTGTGTTTCCATGTCCTCCGGTGCATGTTTCCCCCTCCCCACACGCATGGGCCATGGGGAAGGGGCCCAGTCAAGAGAAACAGCCCGAAAACCCTCTGAAGGCGTTCCGTCTGAGTTTGGGGGATCCAGACTGGATCTGAAGAACATCCATTGCAGGATCCAGATCGGATTCGGTGCCCACTGTGGGTTGACTCCGAATGGCATCTGTTCCCTTCTGGGTTTTGGCTCCAGTTTCTCTTGAACCTCCTTCTCTGTCAATGGACCCTGCCTTCCTTTGGAAAGGCGCCTGTGGGGCGGCTGAGACCCTGTGACCCCGAGATCACTTTGTCCCCCCCAAAAGGGGGAAAATGATCTGGGAGGGGGAACCCTTCTCTTCACGGCACGAAGGGAGAAGTGTGGACTTGCTAACGGTGTCGTCTTCTCTCTCTCCCCCATTTCCATTGGCTTCTCTTCTCTCCGAATTCTCATCCATCCTTCTGTGCCCCTCTCCGGTTGAATCTGAATCCGGTTGCAATCCTTTCACGATCCCTTCTTCCGCTATCAAACCCTTCTTTCTCTACACATCAACCATCTTGGCTCATTGGCCGCCCTTTATTCTCATCCCTCCTTCCATTACATCCATTTCTCCATTTTATCCTCTCTTCCGTTGTCCTTCTCTTCTCCTTTTCTCTTCTCCCTTCTTATTCCCTTCTCTTCTTTCTCCTCCATTTCTGTTTTCTCTCCCACGCCTTTTTGGATCTTTCCTATCCTTCTTTCTTCTCTTTTCTCTCTCACCTCTTTACTCCCCTCACTTCTATTCTCTGTCTTCCCTTTTCTCTTCTGTCTTCACTTCTTCTCTTTTCTCTCATTTTCTCTCCTACATTCTTTCCTTCTTACTTTTTTCACCACTTCTTGTCTCTTCTTTTTTCCCCCTCTCTTTTGGTTTCATCCCCTTTCCCACTCCGCTTCTTTCCTTCTTCTCAACTCATTCTCTTTTCCTTTTCCATTTAATCTGCAATTTTCCCTCTTCTACTGTTCTCACTCCTTCTCCCTTCTCTTCTATTCCCTTCCCTTTCCCTCTCATCTATTCTTCTCTCTTCTTTCCTCTTCCCATTTCTTTTCCTTTTCCCTTTAATCCGCAATCTTCCCTCTTCTACTATCCTCGCTCCTTCTCTCTTCGATTCCCTTCCCCTCGCATCTATTCTTCTCTCTTCTTTCCTTTTTCCTCACTTCCTCTTGTCTTATCCCTTCCTAAAATGTCTTCACTTCACCTCTCTCCTTCTCCATTCTTCCACTCTCCTTTTACTCATTTCCTTTTCTATTCTCCCTTTCTCTCCCCTTTCTTCCATTTCTCTCTCCTCCTTCCCTCTCTTCTCCATCTTTTCCACTTCTCTCTTTCCCTTTTTTCTTCCCCTATTTAACGTCTCTCTCTCTTCCCCCCCCCCCCCCCACTTTCCTGTGTCTCTTCTCCCTTTTTTCTTGGCTTTTCTTTTCTTCTCTTTCCTCCTTTCTCCCCTCTTCTTTCTTTGCTCTCACCTTTCATCCTTTTCTTGAACCCAATCCTGATTCTTTTCTCACACGATTGCCATTGGGCCCCCTGTCTTGCCCCCCGACTTTTCCTCTGCTCCTGCAAGGATGTGGGTCCGCTCCCCACAGAGGAGCCCTGGGCCCCCCACGAATACCTGGACTACACTCTCCCTCCGGATGCAGACAACACTTATTGGGAAGAGGCCTTGCCCCCTGAGCCCTCCTTGCCACACGGAGAGGTAACCACCACCACCACTCCCCACTTTGAAATTGGACTAAAGTTCCCTCAATCCCGCAATCCAGCTAGCTGGGAGTTCTAGTCCAAAAAGCGCAGGCAAGGGGACATATCCATGCTGTGGCCTTGTCTCCACCGATTGGGGAAGATGATGGGCATCTCCAGGTTCTAGGTGGGGTCCATTGCCCTGAATCGAAAGGTTAAGGGAGCTGTCCAGAGTGCTGAATTCTAAAGCCAAGTCTATCAGGGGTCCCCAAAAAAGGGAGATTGGGTCCATGCTACCAGCCTTGGGAATGACTTTTCCTGGCATATAGCTCCACCAATCCATGAATAAAGCCTTAGAGCCCAGGATAGTCCTTTACAGTTTGGACTAGAGTCATTTCCTGTCCTTTCCAAGAGCTAATCTTTAGCTGAGGAGTAGATTCAGGTCCCTGGGAAGATTGCGGGGGAGTTCTTGGTATTCATTGTTGGATTTCAACCTCAGAGAGGATCCACTGTCCTCTGGGGTTCTGGGTCAGATGGGGGTCCCTGGGAGCGGATGCCCCCCTAACACCTTGTGGCTTCCGCCCTGCTTGGGGCCAGGAGGGAGCCCCTCGCCCGCCCCCCACGGTGGAGGAGGAGGAGGAAGAGCTTCCCAGTGTGGGTCCAGAGTACGAAGACGCCTACAAAGCCTACGGCGAGGAGTCCGAGGGGCAGGCGGTATCGGAGCTGGGACCCGTGCTCTCGGCCCAGACCCCACACACCGACAGAGGTGTAAGTGGACCCCGGTCCTCCCTGTGCCTTTCTCTCCTGTTGTGTCACTTCCTGTCGGGCATGCTTGCCTGCACGACTCAGCGATGTCACTTCCTCTTGGCTGGTTATTGGGTGCCATCTTGGACTGGCTTCTGTGTTGGGTTAACCTTGTGTTGCTGTTGTTGTTCACATCGTGGTGTCCTCTTGCTCTCCTCTGGTCTTGTGTCTCTGGATGCTGGCTGTGGGTCAAGGCTATCTGCCGTTACTTCTTGTTTGTCACCTGACCATTTCCTGTGGGCTGCGGGGGTCACTGACTATGCTGAGGTTGCCACCTCTTCCTTCACTTGGTGGTTGTCATCCTTCTCCATCTCTCTGTCCTATGACATCATTTCCTGCAACAACTCTATCACTGTTTTGTAGCATCTTCCCCTTTTTCTAATCTTGTGTTGAGTTGCTCAGGCATGTGTGTCTTTTCTCCCCCAACTGCTTCCTCTTTGGTGATGTCACTTCCTGCAGTGTCTTAGTTTTTTGTGTCTTCAAGTTGGTGGTTTGCTTAGAAGTGGGTTGTCATGACCCTGGCAACAGGAAATAGTCCTATGGGCTTCCTCCTGGTTCTGTGATGTCATCATGGGATGTTATGATGTCATCATACCTCCAGGGCCAGGCCAATCTCCACTCTTCATTGTCCTATGACGTCATCATGTGATATCGTGATATCATCATACGGTAGGACCGTCTTGCACCAGGCGAACCCCCATTCCTTGTTTCATGACTGCCATCATGTGATGTTATGATGTCGTCATGCTACGAGGTCAACAACACTCTTCATTGTCTATGATGTCATCATGTGATATCATGATATCATCATACGGCAGGACCGGCTTTCACCAGGCAAACCCCAATTCCTTGTTTCATGACTGCCATCATGTGATGTTATGATGTCATCATGCTACGAGATCAACAACTCCACTCTTCATTGTCTATGATGTCATCATGTGATATCATGATATCATCATACGGTAGGACCGTCTCTCACCAGGCGAACCCCCATTCCTTGTTTCATGACTGCCATCATGTGATGTTATGATGTCGTCATGCTACGAGGTCAACAACTCCACTCTTCATTATCTATGATGTCATCATGTGATATCATGATATCATCATACGGTAGGACCGTCTCGCACCAGGTGAACCCCCATTCCTTGTTTCATGACTGCCATCATGTGATGTTATGATGTCATCATGCTACGAGGTCAACAACTCCACTCTTCATTGCCTATGATGTCATCATGTGATATCATGATATCATCATACCGTAGGACTGTCTCTCACCAGGCGAACCCCCATTCCTTGTTTTATGACTGCCATCATGTGGTGTTATGATGTCGTCATTCTGTGAGGTCAACAACATCAGACCAACCTGCACTCCTCTTTGTCCTATGATGTTATGATGTCATGATATCATCATACTAGAGGACACATCATCATATCACACCAGACCAGCCCCACTCTATGATGTCATCATAACTAGAGGAGCACATCAACCGACCCTACTCCTCCTTGTTCAATGATGTCATCAGACGATGCCATGATGTCATTGTAGTTAAGACCAACCTGCGCTCCTCTTTGTCCTATGATGTTATGATGTCATGATGTCATCATACTAGAGGACGCATCATCATATCACACCAGACCAGCCCTCTCTATGATGTCATCATAACTAGAGGAGCACATCAACCAACCCCACTCCTCCTTGTTCAATGATGTCATCAGGTGATGCCATGAGGTCATCGTAATTAAAGGGCAACACCACCCGATTGAACCAATCCCCTCCTATTCTTCCTCATCCTGTGATGTCATTGTGTGATGCTGTGATGTCATCATGATGCCATACTACCAGGCCAATCCCCCTTGTTTTATGACCTCATCACATGTAGCTATGATGTTCTCAAGGATGTCATCATGTGATATCATAATGCCATCGTACTTAAAGGGCCTACCCACCAGCTCGACCTAATCCTCTCCTATTCTTCCTTGTCCTGTGATGTCATTGTGTGATGCTGTGATGTCATCACACTACAGGGGCCATATCACCAGACCAATCCCCCTTGTTTTATGACATCATCATGTGTAGCTATGATGTCATGTGATGTTATGATATCATTATACAACAAAATGACACACACTCACCTGCATTTCCTCAACATGGTACTAGCCTTTGACTCAATGGTCCATTGGGCTCATGGGAAAGGCAATGTGGTCAATTGTATGGGGTTTCATGCCCGGACAATCGAACGGAGCAGAAGGGGATTCATTGGAATGATATTCCTCCTTACAAAATCCCCGTCTTGGGTTCAGAAAGGCCTCTTTAGGAAACTGAAATTCCTCTCATTTGAGAGTTTTGAACAGAATGCTTCAAACAAACAAACAAATGGGTGGTTGCAAATCGCCTTCATTATCCTTCCGAATCTCCCCTTAGTTTTCCTTGAGTCCCGGGCTGCATCCTTCTGTAGTAATGCATTTCGTCACTGCTATGGGAGTTGTAGTTTTTGCAAAGCCAAAGAGAGCTGGAGCCTCATCAAACTGTAGACCCCAGGATTCCATAGTAGTTAAAGTGGCACCAAACTGCATTAATTCTCCAGTGCAGATGCTTCCTTTGCAAAACCTTCCTGGAGCTTTGCTCAGCCGTGAGTCGTGTTTGTTCAGGAGTGTTTTCTCTCCCTTTTTTTTTTTTGGCCGAGAAGCCTCATTCCTCGCCTGCTTTTGACACAAATATCTTTTTGTTTCCTCTTCGCTCCCAGTCCTGGCCTGTTTTCTCCAAAGGTACAACCAGCTCCGCTTTTTTGCACATCCGCAGCGGTTGCTCTTTCCATTTGCCGGCCCAAAAATGACCTCTTTTTAAAAATCTAACCCAAAATCCCTCCAGTTACACAGCCCAACAATCCCCAATGAATTGTCGAAGGCTTTCATGGCCAGAATCACTGGGCTGTTGTAGGTTTTTTCGGGCTATATGGCCATAGAGGCATTCTCTCCTGACATTTCGCCTGCATCTATGGCAAGCATCCTCAGAGGTAGTGAGGTCTGTTGGAACTAGGAAAAAGGGGTTTATATATCTGTGGAATGACTAGAGTAGGACAAAGGACTTGCAATCACCTCTCAACCAAAGATTGTTCCAGGCACTGCCAGGCAATCAAATGCTAATCAAGGTGGTCAGTTGAAACATTCCCACCTAGCTCCAGCAGACAAGAGTCCTTTGTCCCACCTTAGTCATTCCACAGATATATCAACCGCTTTTTCCTAGTTCCAACAGACCTCTCAACCTCTGAGGATGCTTGCCATAGATGCAGGCGAAACATCAGGAGAGAATGCCTCTAGAACATGGCCATATAGCCCGGAAAAACCTACAACAACCCAATCCCCAATGAATTTATCTCTGAGCAATCCCCTCTTAATTCAATATTGTCGTATAACAGTCGAGCATTGCCTTTTATTCAGCCATTATATATATATTTTTATTACCGGTTGAGTCCTCTTTATCTAGAAATCCAAAATCAGAAATTGCCCATTTTGGTGCAACTCTTAAATGATTGAAAACATATATAAGAAGTACAAAAGGGATGGGAATCTATGTTCATATTTTTATTTATTTATAATATAATATTGTTTTATATTCAATACTTTACTATTTTTAATATTAGCACTTACATGATTCAAATTGGGATAGAGTATGTATATTTATATTATTTTAATCAATAATTTATTTTATATTCAAATTGCAATCCATTAATTTATATTTTGATATATTACTTATAATAGTATAATATTCTAATATATTTATATTTATATACATTACTATTTATATTATTTATGTCTTGTCGAAGGCTTTCATGGCCGGAATCACTGGGTCGTTGTAGGTTTTTTCGGGCTATATGTCCATGGTCCAGAGGCATTCTCTCGTGACGTTTCGCCTGCATCTATGGCAAGCATCCTCAGAGGTAGGGAGGTGTTCTAGAGGCATTCTCTCCTGACGTTTCGCCTGCATCTATGGCAAGTATTCTCAGAGATAGTGAGGTCTATTGGAACTAGGAAAATGGGTTTATATATCTGTGGAATGGCCAGGGTGGGACAAAGGACTCTTGTCTGCTGGAGCTAGGTGTGAATGTTTCAACTGACCGCCTTGATTAGCATTGGATGGCCTGGCAGTGCCTGGAGCAATCTTTTGTTGAGAGGTGATTAGATGTCCTTGTTTGTTTCCTCTCTGTTGTTGTGCTGTTGTAATTTTAGAAAATTTTAGGGAAGCTGATGAGGAAACACAATATACAAACTATCTACAGACCCACCAAGAAAATCCAACAAATGCTACGTTCAGCAAAGGACAAGAGGGATCCTCTCACTTCTGCAGGAGTCTACCGTGTACCATGCAGCTGTGGACAAGTCTACAAAGGGACCACCAAACGCACCAGCATTGCCCAAACCTGAATCAAGGAACATGGAAGGCACTGCAGACTAAGTCAACCTGAGAAGTCAGCCATAGCAGAGCACCCGAGAAACCAACCTGGACACAGAATATTACTGGAGAACACAGAAATGCTGGACCACTCTCACAACCACCATGTCACCCTACACAGAGAAGCACTGAAATCCACAAGCATGTGGACAATTTCAACAGAAAGGAGGAAACCATGAAAATGAACAAAATCTGGCTACCAGTATTAAAAAACTCTAAAATTACAACAGCACAACAACAGAGAGGAAACAAACAAGGACATCTAATCACCTCTCAACAAAAGTTTGCTCCAGGCACTGTCAGGCCATTATATGCTAATCAAGGTGGTCAGTTGAAACATTCACACCTAGCTCCAGCAGACAAGAGTCCTTTGTCCCACCCTGGTCATTCCACAGATATATAAACCATTTTCCTAGTTCCAACAGACCTCACTACCTCTGAGGATGCTTGCCATAGATGCAGGCGAAACGTCAGGAGAGAATGCCTCTAGACCATGGACATATAGCCCGAAAAAACCTATAACAACCCAGTGATTCTGGCCATGAAAGCCTTCGACAATACATCAATTGATTTCCTGTTTAGATGTGAGTCCCATCTCCAAGATATCTCAGCAAACCAGAATCCCAAGCATTTCAGATAAGGAAAACTCAACCTGTATTATTATTTATCACTGCCATCTTTTCATGGATTAATTTAAATGAATTTGGAGCCATTCACAAGGATTTGTTTACTTTCGCCTCCTTATTTTGGGTTCAGCCATTTCAAAGCTCCCTGCTTGAGGGGTGATGGCACAATCGTCAGCATAGATGAACCTCTCTGTCAACTTATTTTGGGTGCCTTGGTTTTATTTGGAGCGACTGTTCGCTTGCACCCCATCCATTCTCCTTGTATCTTGGGCTCCAATTGTCTGTTTCAGGACAAACGTCTCAGAACATCTACATTATACAATTAATGCAGTTTAGCCCCACTTTCACCACCATGGCTTAGGTAAAGGGAAAGGTTTTCCCCTGACATTAAGTCTAGTTGTGTCTGCCTCTTGGACTCTGGTCCTCATCTCCATTTCTAAGCCGAAGAGCTGGCGTTGTCCGTAGACACCTCCAAGGTCACCATGGCTTAAGTCAGTGGTTCTCAACCTATCTAACAGTGGGAACCCCTAAATATGGTTCCTCATGTTGTGGTGACCCCCAACCACAAAATTATTTTCATTGCTCCTTTATAACAGTAATTTTGCTACTGTTACAAATCATAATGTAAATATCTGATATGAAGGATGTGTTTTCATTGTTACAAATTCAACATAATTAAAGCATCATGATTAATCAGAAAAAAATATGTTTGGGGAAGTATAGAAAACAGATGATGGGATTTGCAGTACCTTCAACCGATTCAGCACTGACTTCCACAGACCACTGAGACCTCCACATAGAACTCCCATGTCAAACAAGAAATACTGGAGGGGCTTGGGAGGAACTAACAGTGATTCAAGGGAGATGTTGTTCACCCACATCTGGAGAGCATTGTGAACCCAAACAACTGGATGTTGAGAGAGCGAGGTAGGCGAGGCAGGCTTTACAAGAGGCCGGACCTCGCACGGAGGAGCCCACACCCTTGGGGCAGCCTCACGACCCCTCCAACATGGCCAGGCGACCCCCCTGGGGGTTGCGACCCTCAGGTTGAGAACCGCTGGCTTAAGTCTATGGAAACATGGGAGCTGTGCTTTTACAAAGTCTTGGGACTTCTGTGCCTCACCGAACTATAAATCCCAGGACTCCATAGCACTGAGCCATGGCGGTTAAAGTGGCGTCAAAGGGCATTCATTCTGCAGTGTGGATGCAGCCCGGGTCTCAACACTTCCCAAAACTGTCATGAATTTAGGGTCTCCTTCCTTCCCAGTCCCTTGGCCTGCAAAACGGAGGCCAAGGAATGGGCGAAAGGGAGACGTAGAGCATGTGAAATGGGAAAGGACTGCATGTGTGTCTTAGGGGGGTGTTGTTTCCTCACGGCTGCGTTATACTGACTCTGCCCCCCTTCCTTTGTGGCTACATGTCTGTGACCTACAGGTCCTCCATGGACCCAGAGGCATGAAAGGAGAGAAAGGGGAGCCGGCCGTCTTCGAACCGGTAAGTGCCTTTGAACCGATGCCACACTCTCTCGGCCTCGGAAGGAGAACCCGAAACCCTCCTCGGAATGCAACCTGGCCAGGAAAACCCTGAACACCGCGCCACGTGGGTCCCTTTTGGGACCACCGTTCTGTCGTGCGTTCATTCTGCAGCGTAAGTGCACCCGTGTGGCTCATCCAAGGGATTCCGCAAATCTCTGGGTCGGAGCAGTCCTCCTGTTTCTCAGAGAGAGTTTGCGGTTATCTCAGAACAGCCCCGGACACCCAGGCTCCTGGCTTTCGGGGCCGCAAACAATGACTCCTTTCACGGAGAAGGAAGAGACGCAAGAGCGCGGCCACCTTCCCTCCCGCAGGAGGGGGTCCAGCCAATAAGGCACCATTGTGGCCTGTAGCATCGTAGGAGCCTAGACCTGGGAGAGGCACCCAGAGGCCATCCAATCCACCCCACTTCTGCCACACAGGGATACACGACCCAAGCCTGCCCGACAGACAAAAGGCTCCAGAGAAGGAGACTCCCTGGCTCCATTATGTCCTACTCAGGAAAGACGCCTCATTGTGCTCTCTAGGTCACAGAATCATAGGCTCAGAGTCTTCTACTATCCTAGTGTATTGTTACCCAGGCACACATTCTCTGAATAAGGTCTCCCATAGAATGACCCACTGAGAGGGATTCATAGAGTGTCCCCCTGCCCTCTTCCCATTGTATGTATCCCTCTGAGTAGCCTTTCTATCTCTATAATGCCTTCTGGGGGCTCCATCCCAGCACTCCATACATATAGACCTAGAGCTCAACAGCTGATCCTATCTATATACAGTCCTGTGGAGGCTGCAACTGAGCACTGCATACATTCATACCTAGAGGCTAGCAGCTGATCCTTTCTATTTCTATACTGCCTCCTTGTGGCTGCATCTCAGCAGTGCATACATTCATATCTAGAGGCCAGCAGCTGATCCTTTCTATCTCTATACTGCCCTCTGGCTGCATCTGAGTGCGGCATGCATTCTTATCTAGAGGCCAGCAACTGCCCTCTGGAGGCTGCATCTGAGCACTGTATGCATTCACACCTGGAGGCCAGTAGCTGATCCTTTCTATCTCTACATTGCCCTGTGGAGGTTGCACCTGAGCACTGCATACATTCATACCTAGAGGGCAGCAGCTAATCATTTCTATTTCTATACTGCCTCCTTGTGGTTGCATCTCAGCACTGCATACAATCTATATAGAGGCCAGCAGCTGATCCTTTCTATCTCTATACTGCTCTCTTGTGGCTGCATCTCAGCACTGCATACATTCATATCTAGAGGCCAGCAGCTGATCCTTTCTATCTCTATACTGCCCTCTGGCTGCATCTGAGTGCGGCATGCATTCTTATCTAGAGGCCAGCAACTGCCCTCTGGAGGCTGCATCTGAGCACTGTATGCATTCACACCTGGAGGCCAGTAGCTGATCCTTTCTATCTCTACATTGCCCTGTGGAGGTTGCACCTGAGCACTGCATACATTCATACCTAGAGGGCAGCAGCTAATCATTTCTATTTCTATACTGCCTCCTTGTGGTTGCATCTCAGCACTGCATACAATCTATATAGAGGCCAGCAGCTGATCCTTTCTATCTCTATACTGCTCTCTTGTGGCTGCATCTCAGCACTGCATACATTCATATCTAGAGGCCAGCAGCTGATCCTTTCTATCTCTATACTGCCCTCTTGTGGCTGCATCTCAGCACTGCATACATTCATATCTAGAGACCAGCAGCTGCCCTCTGGAGGCTGCATCTGAGCACTGTATGCATTCACACCTCAAGGCCAGCAGCTTTTATACCTAGAGGCCAGCAGCTAATCCTTTCAATCCATATACTGACCCTTTGTGGCTGCATTTGAGTGCTGCATATATAGAGACCTAGAGGCCAGCAGCTAATCCTTTCTATCTACATTCTGCCCTCCTGTAGCTGCCCCTGAGCATTGCATACATTCATACCTAGAGACCAGCAGCTGATCCTTTCTATCTCTATATTGCCCCCTTGTAACTACCTCTGAGCACTGCATACATTCATACCTAGAGGCCAGTAGCTGATCCTTCTATCTCTATACTGGCCTCTTGTGGCTGCCTCTGAGCACTGCATACATACATTTATCCCTAGAGATCAGGAGTTAATCCTTTCTACATGTATACACTGCCCTCTTGTGGCTGCATTTGAGTGCTGCATCTATACAGACCCGGTTATCTCTTTTTGGGGCCCTGACCCCAAAACGGAATCGATTTTTGTAGTCAAAACCCTGCCAGTATTTTAAGTGGGATTGCGAAGGGTTTCTGTGTCCCAAGGTTGATCCTGATCCCTCAAGCCAGGTAGGAGCCTTTGTGGAACAAACATACGTATTTCTACTTTATATATGTAAAGTTCCACATGTAAAGTTCCTGGTCATAAGCACCCCCTTTTTGACCCTCCCCGCCTCCTTTCCTTTCTCTGCAGGGAATGCTGGTGGAGGGACGCCCCGGCTCCGAAGGACCCCCGGTAAGACTCCTGGTGGGGCAGCAGGATAGGTGTGGGAGTGTGTGCGTGGACTGGCACCCCACAAATGGCCATGGAAGTCCATTGTGCCCCCTTTCTTCGCCCCACAGGGCATGAGCGGCCCCCCCGGCACCCAAGGGCCCACTGGACCCCCAGGAGATCCCGGCGAAAGGGTGAGTGCCATTGAGAAGGGAAGCGGAAAGGCAACACAGAGAGGAATGAATCCTTGAAAGAACCATCCACACTGCCACGTAATGCAGTTTCATAACTGCGTTATATGGATGGCATTATATGAATCTACACTGACACATCATGTAGTTCAATGCAATTAAACTGCATTAGGAAACCAAATGATATAGCAATGCAGATAAGGTATAATTAATTGGAATTGAAAGGGAATATCTTTTTTTTGGGGGGGGGGGTGCAATGTTGAAGTGATGAACTCAATCTGAATGTCCAAGGGTCCAAATTGGTGATATGCATGTTAAGTCAGCTGGTAAATCACCAGCCATTGGGTTTTTAAGTTTGTCATTTTGAAGCCCCCGGTCAGGGTGAACACTCGACTGTCAGCCCAGCTCACTGTTGACCTAAGCAGTTCGAAAACAGCTTAGAGCTGTAAGTAAAGAAATTGGGAACCGCTAAAAAGCCAGAGAGGTATTTTACGAAACCATAAAAGAAAAAAAACAGAAAATACCCAGGGACCAAAAGGAAGGAGGAAGTCCTGATGGCTCTTCATCACAGAGGATGGAGTGACAGCACCCTCCTGTGGCTGGATTTGAGCACAACCTCCAAGGTGCCAAAAAGCTGGATGTCGACACAACATACCTCCTTTCTGTTCTGAATGTTTGCCGTGTATGTGTACTGTGATCCGCCCTGAGTCCCCTTGGAGAAATAGGGCAGAATATAAATAAAGTGTTGTTGTTATTATTATTATTAAACATATTGGCTTGTAGTTAGCAGGAGGTGAAACGCAATGAAGCAGGACAAGAAGTTCGACAGTTGCCTTTGCTTTGGGAGGGGAGAAGTTGTGCCTTCAATGTATTTTAATCTATTATTATTATTATTATTATTATTATTATTATTATTATTATTAACTGTACCCACCACACGTTGCTGTGGCCAACTTTCCTTCCCTCTTTCTCTCCTTTCCCCCCTTCCTTCGCTCCCTCTTTCCTTCCTTCCCTTTTCTTCTTTCCTGCTCTTCTTCCTTCCTTCTCTACCTCTTTCCTTCCTTCCCCCGTTTTTTTCCCTTCTCCTTTCTCTCCTTTCGTCCTTCTGTATCACTTTCCTTCCTTCCCTTTTTGCTTCCATCCTTCCTTCTCTCTTTCCTTCCCTCCCTCTTTCTCTCCTTCTTTCCCTCCTTCCTTCCTTCCTCTTTCCTTCCCTCCCTTTTTCTTTCCTTCTGTCCTTCCTTCTTTCTCTACCTCTTTCCTTCCTTCCTTTGCTTTTGTCTTCCATCCTTCTTTCTCTCTTTCCTTCTTTCCTTCCCTCCCTCTTTCTCTCCTTCTTTCCCTTCACTTCCTCTTTCCTTCCTTCCCTTTTTTCTTTCCTTCTGTCCTTCCTTCTCTCTCTACCCCTTTCCTTCCTTCCTTTGTTTTTGGTTCCATCCTTCCTTCTAACTTTCATTCTTTCCTTCCCCCTCTCTTTCTCTCCTTTTTTCCCTTCACTCCCTCTTTACTTCCTTCCCTTTCTTCTTTCCTACTTTCCTTCCTTCTCTCCCTCTTTCCTCTCTCTTTTCCTCTTTTTTCTTTCCCTTTCTTTCTTTCTCTCCTTTCTTTCTTTCTTTCTTTCTTTCTTTCTTTCTTTCTTTCTTTCGTTCTTTCTTTCTCCCCTTCCTTCCTTCCCTCTTCCTTCCCTTTTTTCTGTATCATCATTTGGGTTTTTAAGGCCTATCCATTGTTTTTTTGGGGAGGTGGGGGTTATGAGTGATGGTCACTCATTGGTCTGTTAGGGGTATAGTGTCCAAATTTCATGTCAATTCATCCAGTGGTTTTTCAGTTATGTCAATCCCAGAAATGAACATTACATTTTTATTTATGTAGATTATTGTATTGTATTGTTATTACTATATTATTGTATTAATTTATTCTTTATTATTTTATCTCCTCCAACCCCGGATGTTTGGAGAAAGGTCTGGATAACTTACAGAGAAAGGGGGAGCGGGGAAGTCTCCATGGGGAAGAGTCTATACTTTCTGCCCGGTGTTGGGTTGGGCTGGATGACCTCAAGGGACCCCCTTCCCCTCCTGCTCTGGACTGCCCTTCTCACCCATCTCCCCCCTTCCTCTTCGCAGGGACCCCCTGGACGGGCAGGCCTCCCCGGCTCAGACGGGACCCCCGGACCACCTGGCGCATCCATGATGCTCCCAGTAAGTCAAGGATAGGAGGTGGGGAGGATCTCAGGTTGGATCTACACTGCAACATAATCCAGATTGTCTCCATTGAACTGGGCTATTTGTAGTCCACACTGCCATAAAGTCCAGTCCAAAGCAGGACGTCTAGATTTCATATGGCGCCAGTCTGTATCCCATTAGAGACCGGAAGGCTGTGCTATGAGCAGTGGATGATGGGCTTTGGTGTCCTCTTTGTTTTATGTATAATGTCATGATGTCGACTGTTTGGATCTTGGGGTTTATAGATACCGAGCACCCAAGCTCTAGGGATCCCAAAGGGCTGTCATGTTTGCTTTCTCCCTTCTCCAGTTCCGTTTCGGGAGCAGCGGCGGGGGAAAGGGCCCGGTGGTGGCCGCCCAAGAAGCCCAGGCCCAAGCCTTCCTGCAACAAGCCCGGGTGAGTCGGCCCCGTTGCGTTCATCTGTGCAAAGACAGGGGTTGTGAGTTGCACCCCGCTTCTGGGAGTATTCCTTGCCAAGCAAGGCCACTGCAACCAAATGCACTGAGGATGCTGGACTCAGGAGTGATCTAGGGAAGTCATGCTCCCCATGCTTGGTTTACCATGCTTTACCTGGAATATTGTGTCCAGTTCTGGGCACCACCGTTGAAGAGAGATATTGACAAGCTGGAATGTGTCCAGAGGAGGGCGACTGAAATGATCCAGGGTCTGGAGAACAAGCCCTATGAGGAGCGGCTTAAGGAGCTGGGCATGTTTAGCCTGAAGAAGAGAAGGCTGAGAGGGGATATGATAGCCATGTATAAATATGTGAGAGGAAGCCACAGGGAGGAGGGAGCAAGCTTGTTTTCTGCTTCCCTGGAGACTAGGACGCAGGAACAATGGCTTCAAACTACAAGAGAGGAGATTCCATCTGAACATCAGGAAGAACTTCCTGACTGTGAGAGCCGTTCAGCAGTGGAACTCTCTGCCTCGGAGTGTGGAGGAGGCTCCGTCTTTGGAAGCTTTGAAACAGAGGCTGGATGGCCATCTGTCAGGGGTGATTTGAATGCAATATTCTGCTTCTTGGCAGATTGGGGTTGGACTGGATGGCCCACGAGGTCTCTTCCAACTCTAGGATTCTAGGATTCTATGAGTGCTACCTGGCAAAAGGGTCTTGGGATTATAATTGGACGGGAACTAGACCCTGAGCCAAGAATGTGATGCTGCAGCGCCCGTGTGGCTCCGCAGAGGAGGGGATCCCCGTCAAGGGCATTTCTATGCATACACGATAATGCTTGAGGAAGGATTGCCCACAAAACGGAGACCCACATAGTGCGCTGCAGTGCACATCAAGTCGGACTTCAACCAGATAACGCACTGCAGAGGATCCCTGCATTTCCCCGATCCACAACACGCTGCAGCGCATTATCATAGACCCCAAAGTGGGAGCTACCCAAAAGCACCCCAAGGACACGGTAGAAAGGGGAACTCAGTTACCTCTGCCCTCTATTGTTACTTTCTGTTTATTTTCACCCCATGGAGCTCCAAAGCGCTGATGCGCATCTCCCTGGAAATGGGGGAAATCCCCAAAGTGATTTGAGGCCAGGTTTCGTGTTCAATGCAATCACCTTCTTGGCCTCTGACTGGTTCCAGACCTGTCCCTCAATGTCCTGCAGGGAAACCAGTTCCTCCCAAACCAGTTCCAAGCTGCATTATAGTATAGAAGTGCCCTTAGAACAGTGTTTCTCAACCTGGGGGTCGGGACCCCTGGGGGGGTCACGAGGGGGTGTCAGAGGGGTCGCCAAAGACCAATTAGAAAACACAGTATTTTCTGATGGCAGTGGGGGTTCTGTGTGGGAGGTTTGGCCCAATTCTGTCATTGGTGGAGTTCAGAACACTCTTTGATTATAGGTGAACTATAAATCCCAGCCACTACAACTCCCAAATGTCAAGGCCTATCTTCCCCAAACCCCACCAGTGTCCACATTCAGGCATATTGAGTATTCGTGCCAAGTTTGGTCCAGATGCATCTGTGCTCTCTGGATGTAGGTGAACTACAACTCCAAAACCCAAGGTCAATGCCCACTAAACCCTTCTAGTATTTTCTGTTGGTCATGGGAGCTCTGTGTCCCAAGTTTGGTTCAGTTCCATCTTTGGTGGAGTTCAGAATGATTATAGGTGAACTAGAAATCCCAGCAACTACAACTCTCAAATGACAAAATCAATCCTCCCTCAACGCCATCAGTATTCAAATTTGGATGTAGTGAGTATTTGTTCCAAATGAATGAAAATACATTCTGCATATTGGATATTTACAAGATGATTCATAACAGGAGCGAAATTATAGTTGTGAAGTAGCAAAGAAAATAATGATATGGTTGGGGGTCACCACCACATAAGGAACTGTATTAAGGGACCACGGCATTAGGAAGGTTGAGAACCACTGCCTTAGAATCATACGGCCATCGGGGTGGAAGGGGCCCCAAAGGGCATCCAATCCACCCCCTTCTGCCAGACAAGAAGACACAAAGTGTTAAAGCGTCCCCAACAGATGGCCATCCAGTCCCTGCTTAAAAACCTTCAGAAAAGGAGGAGACTCTACAGGGTTCAGCCATACTCCATGAATCATAGGATCCTAGAGTTGGAAGAGACCTCTTGGGCCATCCAGTCCAACCCCATTCTGCCAAGAAGCAGGAAAATTGCATTCAAAGCACCCCCGACAGATGGCCATCCAGCTTCTGTTTAAAAGCTTCCAAAGAAGGAGCCTCCACCATGAGATTGTTATTGAACCTGAGCCAAGAGGGTGATGCTCCAGCGATCTTGGCTTCCATACAAAATGGGAATAAGGAGAGTTTCCACAGAGACTAGGAAAACAATGGAGCAATACATTCAAATAGCAGGAAAATGATTAAACATTAGGAGCAACTTCCTGATGGTGTGAACTAATGGAATGTGCTGCTACCTGGCAGTCCTGTGCTGTCTCCTTTGCTGGAAGCCTTGGAGCAGATGCGCATCTGTCTGGAGGGCTTGGATTGTGTCTTCAGGCCTGTCAGAAGGTGGGATTAGATGCCCTTTGTGGCCCCACCCAACTCTGGGATTCTTTGGTTCTATCATTACCACTCTAACCTGCCATGATGTCCCCTTATGGCATATCAGGATTTGTAGTTTGGCCAGAGAGTTTTGCAATGCTGCAAACTACAAATCCCAGGTTGCACCAAGGGCAAACCCAGTCAGGGCTTCTACTTCAACATGCACAAAACCCACATTTTATGCCACAGATGTCTGACTCCCCGCATTTGTCTTCTTTCCCCCAAAGATGGCCTTGCGAGGCCCCCCAGGACCCATGGGGTACACCGGCCGGCCAGGGATCATGGTGAGTAGCCTTTGCCTTGGTTTTTGCCACTAAACATGCATTGAATTTTCAACAAGATACAGCCAGAACCCTCCTGATTAAAGCAGAGATGAGAATCAAACAAAATAATGCTAAAATATTGTATCAGAATAAGGGGTTTATGCCGTCGCGCCTGGGGGCTATAACTCCTAGTGAAAGAGGCATGGACGTGACATCTTTCCCCAGGGAATTGCTTCTTGCCCTCCTCTAGGGAAACTGGAACTCCTAAGGACCAAAACACTGTAGATAACTCAAAATAGGTTTTATTGTTCACAAAGAGTTATCCCTTTAAGGCAATAAGCTGGAAGTTTCAAAGGGGTAAAGGAAATATACATTACAGTCTCTGGTTGTCTTGGGTCCAAGGAGTTTTGCAGCTGAGAAGCTTTTCCAGGTCCCTCTTTCTCAATGGCTGTGAATGCCAGAGCAATCCACAACCCCAGTCCAAATGGCCTATGTTTGAAGACACAAAGTCTTCCTCTGGTGCCAAAGGACTGGTTTGAAGGCGCTTGAGACTTCTCAACGTCATCCAGGTTTATCTGAACATGAAGCATAAGTCTCAAGGGTAAGAACCTCAGAATTGGTGCTGAGAGGTAACTTAATCAAGGGCTTCAGAGCCAAGTCTCTCTCTCACGTCCATCTGATAGAAAGTTTGATGGTGGAATGGAAAAGGAAACACTGTCCTGCTCTCTAGGAAGAGGTGGGGTCAAACAATTGAGCAGGAGGAGCAATTCACTGGTGCAAACAACATTGATTGACAGCTATAAAAACCAATCAATCCAACTATACATTTACAGGGTGAAAAGGCAAAATCAGGCATGATACAACAATTCAAATCTTGCAACTTACAGTTCTACATATAGGTGGCGCCACTCGCGCCGTCACAGGGTTTAAGGGGGCTAATGTTATAGTATTCAGTAGAGGTGTGCAAATAAGTTGGATGTCGTTGTAACTTGGATTCATTTCATATGTTGCACGCTTACAAGATGTATTACAATACACCTGCAAAGTGTGCTGAAAACATTAAGAAACTGACTTTTGAAGACTTCGAATTTACGTTTCGATTTCTTCAGAAGTGCCTATGACAGCCCTGCTGAGAGGCGAAGCCAAACCTGTTGGCATGCCTCTCAGCCAATCAGGGCTGATGGAGGAGGGAGGGGGAGGCCCTATGCCAAACAATTCAGAAAAAAAACTGCCCTAAACTACATTTCCCAATATGCAGCAGAATGGGAAAGGATCAATCAGGAGAGGAGAGAGAGATTTGTTTTGACTCTGTATGTTTTGATGTTGTTGCTTGGAAAACGTCCTGAGTCCCTCCAGGGAGATAGAGCGGTATATAAATAAAGTTTTGTTGTTGTTGTTGTTGTTGTTGTTGTTGTTGTTGTTGTTGTTGTTGTTAGTCCCTCCCTAAACAGTCGGTTTTATCAAAACTTTTTAAAAAATCACTAAAATCAGTAGATGTATAAATATTTCTGAAAGCTGGGGGGGGGGGGATTATCCCCTATTGCATTGTGTCATTGAATAGAAAATTCAAGATCACTCTTGTCGTTTCTTGTTGTTTATAAATTCTTTGAAATTTCCCCTAAAATTCATAAATAAGTGAAATGTTCTGAAATTTGGTGGGCTATCAGGGGTAAATGTGTTCTAGCGTTGTAGCAAGTTTCACTCCAATAGCGTTAAGAATGAGATGTATAGGAACCTCTGAAGTTTTCCCAATAGCAGTAATCATTGTATTAATGCACAGATGGAATTACTGTAACGAAGTAGTAACAAAATTTTGTTAGTCTCATAGTAACAAAATTTTATCTAACTAAACTTTGGAAACACTTTAGAAATGAAGCACCAAGGCCCCCCAGTGTTGAACGACCTTTTAGTGGATCGTACATGCCTAGTATTCAGAGCTTGCAAGTGTAAGAGTCATGCATCAAGAGACCCTGGGTGCATCTACACTGCAGAGTTAATGCAGTTTGGGACCACTTTCACTACCATGGCTAGAAGAAGCAGGTGCCAAACTATGCTAATTCCACAGTGTAGATGCACCCCAGGTCCATGAATTTGGGTGGCCAACGCTATTTCCCAATACGTATCTGCATGGGATACGTTCTTGAGTTTATGGTGGAGAGAGCAAACAGAGGAGAGTCACGAACCCTGTCATAATGAAAGACTTCTCCAGGAAGTCATTCATTGAAATAGGGTTTGTCGTTATCCTCTGGAGGAATGGAGGATAACAATAGGTACTACTGAATCCTGAGATTTGTTGTTGAGGGAGGTGTATGTGCTGAGGATCATTTGCCGGAGAGCTCTAGTACTGCCAAGGACTGCGGAGCCCATCATTCCATTGGGTGGTGGTACATCAACATGGTTTTGATACCATTTCAACTGGTGGGGGTGCCATTCTTTAGCCTAGGTTGGTGTGAGCACCTGACCTTTAGCCCAGCTTACTGTCCACCTAAGCAGTTTGGAAAGAGGTGTGAGCTGTGAGTAGAGAAATTAGGCTTTGCTCAAGCAGGGAGCTATTTTATGGCACCATAAAAGAAATACCAGATAATGCCAGCAATCAAAGGAAGGAGGAAGTTTGCGATCGAGCGCTCTTTGTCATTGATGATGGAGCAACAGCACCTCCTGTGGCTGGAATTGAGCACAACCTTCAGGATGCCGAAGTTGGGGAAAATGCCAGCACTTTACCTCTATATGTTGCCTGTCCTGTCTGTTTAATGGCATTGAATGTTTGCAGTATATGTGTTCGGTGATCCTCCCTGAGTCCCCTTCGGGGTGAGAAGGACAGAATAGAAATGCTGTAAATAAATAAATACATTCTTTTCCAGGGTCAACCTGGCAGCAACGGCATGAAGGGCGAGTCCGGAGACTTTGGCCCCCAGGTGAGGTGACCTTAGACCCTCGCTGTGGTGACCCCACGACCCCTCCCTCCTCTCCTCCATCCCATCTCTTCCCTGCTATGAATCAGGAGAGAGTGGACTTCCCACTTTGATAATGGAGGTGATTGTTATTATTGTGTTTCTCTTCTCCTTTTCAGGGGCCGAGGGGGCCCCAGGGACTAACCGGAGCCCCAGGGAAACCTGGACGACGAGTAAGTAATGCAATTGCCTTGGGAGAAAAGACTTATTTGTGTCTACAGGGAAGGGGGTGTTTGGGGTTTCCAGAGCAAGGATGCTCCACCTGTAATAGGTTTCTGGGGGGCGGGCGGGAGGGAGGCTGGGGCCAAGGGAAGGGGCCCCTTCTGACCACTCCTCCTTCTGATTCCTCCTTACAGGGCCGTGCTGGAGCTGATGGGGCCCGAGGGATGCCCGGGGAGTCCGGTAACAAGGTCAGTGGCAACCAACCTCTGCCTCTCCGGATGGGGCCCTTTTGCAAGCCCTGGGAACGTCCCCCCGGGGTCGCCTTTTTTGCAGCTCAGGATCATTGGACACTAGAGTTGGGAGAGACCTCCAAAGGCCACCCAGATTCCACTTAATGATCTCTGGAGAAGGAAGAACTCCTAGATTACTTTCTCAGAGACTGTTTCCAAGCTGGGTGTCCCCCGGTCCTATCTCTGTGCATTTCATTATTATTGCCTGAATGTCGTACTGTCAATTTTCTCCCTGTTAGTTTTGGAAAATGGAAATCTCCATAACCTTTTGGAGATTTTGTGATCTTTGGAAAGACATGACCTTGCTAGAAGTCATAACCTTTTGAAAAATGATGCCATCACCTTTTGGGAAAAGGGCATTCATGCAAATCAGTTTGGTTTCTTAGTTGTTAAACTGATGTGCCTAGGTATGTCTTTGAACTGTTAGGGACAAAGAAATGCCAATGCACAAAACACACACACACACATCTAGCAGAATTTCAAAAGTGTTCTTTTAGTTGCCCAAAAAAATCTATTTGCTCTTAAAATTGCCTTTAAATCATACTCTCAAGAGACAAAAATAAGTAGACTTTTTAAAAAAAGTCATATAGTTGGAGCCCCCGGTGCCACAGTGGGTTAAAGCGCTGAGCTTGTTGACCGAAAGGTTGCAGGCTCGAATCCGGAGAGTGGTGTGAGCTTCTGCTGTCAGTCCCAGCTTCTGTCAACCTAGCAAAACAGGCCAGCGCGTGGCAGCACAATCTTCAAATCAGAATAGTTTATTGTACTAGCCCAAGGCTAAACAGGTCCAGGTGCAGGCTGCACAGAGCAGGACCCTCAAAGCAAACAGGAAGCAAAAGATAACAAACACAGGCGAGCTTCACTCCTATACAGAGCAAAAACAATGTGAATTATTGGTAGTTTTTTGGGGAGGGCCAAATTAGCCCGTTGAGTCTCCATAGGTGTGGATGACAATTTTATCTAGCTCTCTCTTTCTGGTCTTTTTTTCCCCCAACAAAGCAAAGAGGGCCACTTTATATGTGACATACATTTGAGTCCCTTAGCAAGAACGGAACCCACCATCTGCAAATTCGACTAGTTTGCATTCCATCTATTCCATCATCATGCAAGCAATTGATCTAGAACTCAAGAACCCGTGTCTTTGCTGTTCTCTCCTCAGGGCGAGCGTGGTTTCGATGGCCTTCCGGGCCTCCCAGGGGAGAAGGGGCACCGGGTAAGTGGCCTGAATTAGATTATTATTATTATTATTATTATTATTATTATTATTATTATTATCTATATATATAAATTTGTTAGGGGCATCCAACGAAACAAAACTCAAAAAAACCCCCAACGAAACTTAACCAAAATTCCCATGCCCATAACACAACCCACAAGGTACAAACATATCTACTCAAAATGAAAAACAACACAACAACACACTCACAAAACGCAAAACAACAAAACTCAAAAAACCCCAACGAAACTTAACCAAAATTCCCATGCCCATAACACAACCCACAAGGTACAAACATATCTACTCAAAATGAAAAACAACACAACAACACACTCACAAAACGGCAAAACAACTGAGCATGCGCATTGGTGCCCAGGCGCAAGTTCGCTGGCGCGCGCACACAGCCTTCCGGCCAACGTTCTCTCTGCAGAAGCCATGCCTACTCCAAGCCCCGCCACGCCGCTTCCCGCACACACACACCCCTGCCGCACGCACACACACAACCCCACGCTCCATCACCCCCCCGCACACACACGCAACCCCACGCTCCATCACTCCCCCGCCGCTGCACACACACATGCAACCCCACGCTCCATCACTCCCCCCACCGCCACACACACACACGCAACCCCATGCTCCATCACTCCCCCCGCCGCCGCACACACACATGCAACCCCACGCTCCATCACTCCCCCGCCACACGCACACACGCAACCCCACTCCCCCCGCCGCCGCACACACACATGCAACCCCACGCTCCATCACTCCCCCCGCCGCCGCACACACACACGCAACCCCCCCGCCGCACACACACACACACACAACCACACGCTCCATCACTCCCCCCGCCGCCGCACACACACACGCAACCCCACGCTCCATCACCCCCCCGCCGCCGCACACACACACGCAACCCCACGCTCCCGCCGCACACACACATGCAACCCCAGGCTCCATCATTCCCCCGCCGCCGCACACACACACGCAACCCCACGCTACATCACTCCCCCGCCGCCGCACACACACACACGCAACCCCCCTCCATCACTCCCCGCCGCCACACACACGCAACCCCACTCCCCCGCCGCGCACACACACACGCAACCCCCCCCACAACCCCCGCCGCCGCACACACACACGCAACCCACTCCATCACTCCCCCGCGCACACACACACACGCAACCCCACTCCCCGCCGCACACACACACACAACCCCAGGCTCCATCATTCCCCCCGCCGCTGCACACACATAATAGTCCAGATATCTACCTCAACTTTGATAAGTTTTACTATAGGCCACAGCAACGTGTGGCAGGGCACAGCTAGTTATTATTATTATTATTAGCACAAAAGCACAGTATGTCACAACAAATGAGATCTATATGCTGGATTTTGTATCACAAAATCACAAGTCGAACACGTCCCAAGCGTCTAGGACTGTGTGATGTATTATTATTATTATTATTATTATTATTATTATTATTATTATTAGGTACACAACAAGATGAGTACACAGCAAACGACATCACTATGCTGGCTTTTGTAATGGATCACACGCTGGACACTTCCTAAGTGTCTAGGACTCTGTGATGTATTGTAAATAATACGTGCATTTCCCAGTAGAGTGGCCTTTTGCAGCTGACAGATGGTAATTTTTTCAACACCTATGGTTTTTAAGTCCAGGCCAAGGTCTTGAGGCACTGCACCCAGTGTGTTGATCACCACTGGGACCCCCTTGACTGGCTTGTGCCAGGCTCTTTGGAGTTCAATCTTTAAATCCTCATATTGTGTCAACTTTTCCAGTTGCTTCTCTTCAATTCTGCTGTTGCCTGGGGTTGTTGTTGTTGTTGTTGTTATATCCTGCTTTTCCTCTTTTAGAAGAAACTCAATGCAGGAAACTCTCAGAGCTCTGCAATTCTTGCATTTATCAATGGGGAGTGCATGGATTGGGAGGAGCTATGGCTCTGAGGCTGAAGCAAAGTCAAAACCTTATCAATCAATCAATCAATCAATCAATCAATCAAGGTTTCAATTAGGCTTGGAGTTATACCAAGGTTTTGTCCAAGGCTTTCATGGTTGGAATCACTGGGTTGCTGTAGGTTTTTTGGGCTATATGGCCATGTTCTAGACACATTCTCCCTTGACGTTTCGCCTGCATCTATGCCAGGCATCCTCAGATGCAGGTGAAACGTCAGGAGAGAACGCTTCTAGAATATGGCCATATAGCCTAAAAAAACCTACAACACCCCACCAGACCAAGATTGTCTAGGCTGGGATGCTCCAGTTTTAAGTGAAACATGGTTCTGATGTTTTAGGAGCTTTGTGTCATGACGTCCTTAAATGCTGCATTATTGGAATAAATCCAGGTTCTCAGTCCCACCAGAAAACTATATTTTCCATGGACAAAGTGGGGGGGGGGATATGGAGGAAGCTATTCCAAGGGGGCCATCCTCCGCATTCAGTGGGGCACAGGTGAAAAGTGAGGGGATTGTAGATCTCTGCAGCCTCCAAAACAATATAACTTGCACCTAATTGAAGTGCATCTTGGAGTTGACTTGGATGTGTTGATGGTCTGGGTCTTCTCCTTCTCTGTTCCAGGGAGACTCCGGATCCCAGGGAATCCATGGACCCCCCGGAGAAGATGGCGAGAGGGTGAGTCTTTGTGGTGTTTATGAACCAATATTGGGCGGGATGGAGACAACCAATGTGAAGTTTGACCTTGACATGATGGAGGTGTTTCTGATGAGCCAGGAAAGGCAATAAGCACTGCAGGTGGATTCATATCCGAACCCAGAGGTCCATGTTCCGTCATTGGCCTGGACTCCTGAGTGTTAATGCTAGCATGGTTGCTGTGCCCCTTCCCTGAGTAGCCATGTCCTGCAGTCACTGCTGCACTCACATCCCCTGTGTACTACTGTAACACACTCTACTTGGGACCAGCCTTGGAAACTGTTCGGAATGATGAGATGAACTTGAACTATTGACAAAGGAAGGCAGATACTCAAACTTTGTTTCCAGGCAAATGTTGTGACTGAGCTGGATTCACAGAGTGTCTCTGATGAGGATAATAGGACTCAGTTCACAGTCTGGTTCAAAATGTCCCTGTTATAGACAGTGAAGAAGTGCAGTTTCCCACAGCAAGGCATGAGAGTGCTGATTCTGAAAATAGCCAGGTGCAGGTGCAGATTGACTCAGAGAAGAAGGACCGTTCTCAGCCTGATAATGAGCAAGCAGGGAAACAGGCTGACACTAACAAACAGACTGACCTTGACGAAATGGGAACCTTAGATCGGGCTGACTGTTTGGAATTCAGAGTTCAAAGGAGTCAGAGAATAGCCAACAAGAGGGAGGCCAAAGGCCAAAGAAATGCCTTCATGTTTTGCAAAGGATATTAAGCGGTGTGTTTGAGACCAAACTTTTGTCAAAGCAACTTTTCGTTCAACTAAGAAGCTTGCCTTTGTTTGTCTGGATTATCTTCTTGTGTTCCTGGTTTCAGGGCTTTGTTCTCCCACAATTCTTCAGACCTCTCCCCCCCCCCCCCCCCGCTGCTTAATCTGAGTTCTGGGCCCATAACCAACGTCAGACTCTGTTTCCTGTGTGGAGCACCAAGAAGCTTCCTCTACAGCAGGCATGGGCAAACTTTGGCCCTCCAGGTGTTTTGGATTGCAACTCCCACAATTCCTGAGCCCCCCCCCCTCAGCTGCTCAATCTGAGTGCTGGGCCCATAACCAACGTCAGACTCTGTTTCCTGTGTGGAGTGCCAAGAAGCTTCCTCTACATCAGGCATGGGCAAACTTTGGCCTTCGAGGTGTTTTGGACTGCAATTCCCACCATTCCTAACAGCCTCAGCCCCCTTCCTTTTCTCCCTCGGCTACTTAAGCAGCTGAGAAGGAAAAGGAAGGGGTCTGAGGCTGTTAGGAATGGTGGGAATTGCAGTCCAGAACAACTGGAGGAGTATAGTTTGCCCATGCCTGATGTAGCTTCTAATTTATTGTCAAAGGCTTTCATGGCTGCAATCACTGGGTTGTTGTAGGTTTTTCGGGCTATATGGCCATGTTCTAGAAACATTCTCACCTGACGTTTTGCCTGCACCTGTAGCAAGCATCCTCAGAGGTTGTGAGGTTACTGAACACTTTCCAAGGGTGGTCCCAAGTAGAGCACGTCACAGTAGACACTCTGTGAATCCAGCTCAGTCACAACATTTGACTGGAAACAAAGTTTGAGTATCTGCCTTCCTTTGGTAATAGTTCAAGTTCATCTCATCATTCCGAACAGCTTCTAATTCAAGGGTTCTCAACCTTCCTCATGCCGCGACCCCTTAATACATGTTGTGGTGACCCCCAACCATAATTTTTTTCCTTCCTACTTCATAACTGTCATTTTGCTACTGCTATCAATTGTAAAGTAAATATCTGATATGCAGGATGTATTTTCATCCACTGGACCAAATTTGGCACAAATACTCGATACGCCCAAATTTGAATACTGGTGGGGTTGGGGAGTTGATTTTGTAATTTGGGAGTTATGGTTGCTGGGATTTGTAGTTCACCTGCAATCAAAGAGCATTCTGAACTCTACCAATGGCACGCAGAACTCCCATGGCCAACAGAAAATTTTGGAAGGGTTTGGTGGGCATTGACCTTGAGTTTTGGAGTTGTAGTTCGCCTACATCCAGAGAGCACTGTGGACTCAAACAATGATGGATCTGGACCAAACTTGGCACGAATACTCAATATGCCCAAATGTGAACACTGATGGAGTTTGGGGAAAATAGTCCTTGACATTTTAGGAGTTGTAGTTGCTGGGATTTGTAGTTCACCTGCAATCAAAGAGCATTCCGAACCCCACCAACGACAGAATTGGGGCAAACTTCCCACACAGAACCCCCATGACCAACAGGAAATTCTGTGTTTTCTGGTGGTCTTTAATGACCCCTCTGACACGCCCACGTGACCCCTCCAGAGGTCCCGACCCCCAAGTTGAGAGTGAGTGTTCTAATTGCATAATATTGCCATATAGATGGGGCCTCAAACCCTACTGCATTTTTTTGGAGTTTCCTTTTCTCTGGCGACATCTAGTGCTTAGCCTTGACTTTGCAGGTTTAGTAAACTAGATCCCACTTTTAATACAATTTCATTTTCTGACAGTGGTCCAGTCCCTAAAGCAGCCAGATCAGCAGTCCAAACATTGAAAACATGAACTATTTTTCTGGACGACTGTCAGAAAATGGAATCGGTCAAAAAAGTGGAAAACTTGGTGAAACAATATACTAAGCATGGATTGAAATGGGTTAAAATACGTAGTTCATAATCTGAGGGTGTATGCAAGGTAGCCCACATGTATTCCCAAGCTTGGCCCAAAGTATAATTTTAAATTAAACTAGCGGTCCCCTGCCAGGTGTCGCTGTGGCCCAGTCTGGTGATCTGGAAAATAAAGTAATGAGAAGGTGTTGGTTTCTAATATATGCAATGTCTTGATGCCTGTGGGTAAACAGTATTTCTTGCTGTTTCTTTGTGTTGATTGAGAGATTTGTCTGGTTTGCCTACTCTGGAACATTACTATATAATGGTATAGTACAATATAGAAATATTTAATACTGATATTGTACTATGCTAATAATATAATATATTGTATTGTCGAAGGCTTTCATGGCCAGAATCACTGGGTTGTTGTAGGTTTTTCGGGCTATATGGCCATGTTCTCGCTCCTGACGTTTCCTGCATCTATGGCAAACCTCTGAGGATGCTTGCCATAGATGCAGGCAAAACGTCAGGGGAGAATGCCTCTAGAACATGGCCATATAGCCCGAAAAAAAACTACAACAACCCATGTATATATCTATGGCTGGATGGCTCTTTGTCAGGAGGGCTTTAATTATGTTTTCTTGCCCTGCTGAAGGGAGTTGGACTAGATGGCCTTAAGGCAGCATTTCTCAACCTGGGGGTCGGGACCCCTGGGGGGGTTGCGAGGGGGTGACAGGGGTGTCGCCAAAGACCACCAGAAAACACAGTATTTTCTGTTGGTCATGAGCTTTTTGTGTAGGAAGTTTGGCCCAATTCTATCATTGGTGGAGTTCAAGATGCTCTTTGATTTTAAGTGAACTATAAATCCCAGTAATGACAACTCCCAAATGTCATAGTCTATTTCCCCCAAACTCCACCTGTGTTCATATTTGGGCATATTGAGTATATTTGCCAAGTTTGGTCCAGATCCATCATTGTTTGAGTCCACAGTGCTCTCTGGATGTAGGTAAACTATAACTCCCAAACTCAAGGTCAATGCCCACCAAATCCTTCTAGTGTTTTCTGTTGGTCGTGGGAGTCCTGTGTGCCAAGTTTGGTTCAATTCCATCATTGGTGGAGTCCAGAATGCTCTTTGATTGTAAGTGAACTATAAATCTCAGCAACTGCAACTCCCAAATTACAAAATCAATTTTTTGAGTGATGGTCACTCCTTGGGTTGGTAGGTATGTTGTGGCCAAATTTGGTGGCAATCAGTCCAGAGGTTTTTGAGTTATGATGTTACTCAAAACAAACAGAACAGTTATATATATATAGATATATATAGATATAGATATAAATAGATTAAATAATCCATGTATAAGGGCATGGATATGATTATGTTTACCATTTAAGGACCACTGTTAGAAATGTAATTGGTTGAAAAGTGGAACACATTATAAACGATATGCCAAGCGAGGAGGACCCTACTTAGGCGATCCCTCGTTGGACGAGTAAGATGGTCTTCCATTATGGATTTCCTTGTGGCTCCGTATGTGGCTGTGGAGCCCTATTCTTGCTCTGCATCTTCTTCCGCAGTGAGGGCATTGGTTTCCAGGTGGAAGGCGGTCCCGTTGGGGTTGGCTTGATGTGCCTTTCTCTTGGCACGTTTCTCTCTTTCACCCTCCATTCGTGCCTCTTCAAATTCTGCAGCACTGCTGGTCACAGCTGACCTCCAGCTGGAGCGCTCAAGGGCCAGGGCTTCCCAGTTCTCAGTGTCTATGCCAGAGTTTTTAAGGTTGGCTTTGAGCCCATCTTTCAATCTCTTTTCCTGCCCACCAACGTTCCGTTTTCCGTTCTTAAGTTCGGAGTAGAGCAACTGCTTTGGGAGACGGTGGTCAGGCATCCGGACAACGTGGCCGGCCCAGCGGAGTTGATGGAGGAGGACCCATAACTAGGGTGACACCACCGAGGAGGGAGAAAGAAAACATTGGCAGATCAGTCCATTGTTCCTTAAGGAGGACTGGCTACTTGGTTTATTCAAAAAGCAGAGAATTAGGTTATTGAAAAGTGGGGTGTTGGTTTTAGAGGAAGTGAAGGCATCTCCCCTTGAATCCAATGGGATTCCCTGATTTCTGATTTGGTTTCTCTTTCCTCTGGTTCCAGGGAGATGATGGCGAAGTCGGGCAGCGGGGCCTTCCTGGAGAACCGGTACGTCAATCCAAGAACATGCAACGACTCTCCATTTTCCTTCTCCCTTCCGCTTCCCTGCTTTTCTTCCCTCCCTCCCTTTCTTCTCCACCTTTTCTTTTGGGAAAAGGATGACCTTTGAGATCATAACCTCTCTATATCTGCGCCGTCACTCCCTGACCCCATAACGTTAAAACCAAGATGTGCTTCTCTCTTTATTTGGGTGAACCGCTGGGGGGTCTTTCTTTGAAGCAATAACTCAATACTTACAGCAACAGATGCCAGTCAAAATATGAACATCAACAAAATGTTTATTTCCAAAGTCCTTGGCAGACTTGGCACAGCTTGATAAAGTTACAACACAAACAGTCAATTTGAGAAACCATAGAGATGTTCTTTCTTTCCTTTTTCTTCAATTACTGAGGTAACCTTTCTCCAAATGGTAGAAAAAATCCTGAGATATTTCACCCTAACCCTGAGCTGCTCTGGTTAGAAAGAACAGGTCTTCCTCTATCTAAGCACAAGGTCAGTTTTGGAGATGAAGTAATGCTCAATAGTACTCAATAACTATTTCTCTCTATTTCTCAATCACTCAATCACTCAATTACTATCTCAATATGCTTCTCTTTATCTCAGTTGCCTTTCTTAATAACTCAGTTTCTATCTATAACTCAATTTCTTTTCTTCAATAACTTAATATATGCTTTGGTTAGACCACTTTACCTGCAATACTGTGTCCAATTCTGGGCACCACAATTGAAGAGAGATATTGACAAGCTGGAATGTGTCCAGAGGAGGGCGACTAAAATGATCAAGGGTCTGGAGAACAAGCCCTATGAGGAGCGGCTTAAGGAGCTGGGCATGTTTAGCCTGAAGAAGAGAAGGCTGAGAGGAGATATGATAGCCATGTATAAATATGTGAGAGGAAGTCACAGGGAGGAGGGAGGGAGCAAGCTTGTTTTCTGCTTCCTTGGAGACTAGGACGCAATGGAACAATGGCTTCAAACTACAAGAGAGGAGATTCCACCTGAACACGAGGAAGAACTTCCTGACTGTGAGAGCCGTTCAGCAGTGGAACTCTCTGCCCCGGAGTGTGGTGGAGGCTCCTTCTTTGGAAGCTTTTAAACAGAGGCTGGATGGCCATCTGTCAGGGGTGATTTGAATGCAATATTCCTGCTTCTTGGCAGGGGGTTGGACTGGATGGCCCATGAGGTCTCTTCCAACTCTTTGATTCTATGATTCTATATATCTCTCTATATATAACTCAATAAGCTTCTCTTTATCTCTATATCTATCTATAACTCAATAGCTTTTCTTAATAACTCAATTGCTTAATTCCTATTCTATCTATCTGAATATCTCAATAGCTATTCTATCTATCTGAATTGTACTCACAATGGGTTTTTCAGAGCTCCCTGCCTGACCAACAGCACATCTGAGGTTCTTTTCTCTACTGAAGGAGGCAGGGGAGATTCCAAAATGGAGATCTCAACCCCAGGAAAAAAGGGCGGACTCCTAACCCAAAGAGATACTTTCTAAACCAATAACTGCAGAGGGCCTGCAGCCTGGCTTTCCAGACTCTGATACTGTTTAACTTCCAGGGTGCTGCTGGGTCTATGGCAACCCTGGGGAAATGCAAAGGAGTGCTATCCCATGCAGCTAAAAGGCAACGTAAACTATGCTCCTGGAAGACGGAACAATATCCTTTTTGGAAGTGTGATGTTTTGGAGATCAGTTGGCATTCACACAATTTGGAATGTCATAACCTTTTGTAAAGCATGATCTTCCTGAGAAGAGTGAATCTTCTCTTCAGTGGTATGTCTCCACTAGTATTCATGCAAGGCAAATCAGGTTTCTCAGTTGTTAGACTTATCCGTGTCGTGTCAATATGTATTGTGCAAGTTTAAAATCTCCATGCTGATAGCTGTGAAAGAGTTAAGTTGTGGAACATCATGAAGTATGCGTAGAAGAGACAAGGAAGATGTTGTAATAGACAAAGAGGCTGGACGCTGAATTAATGAGCTGATAACAGGGGGTATAAATAGAGCAGACACCATTTTGTTCTCTCCCTTGGCTCTTCTCCCTTGCATTTGACCACGCTGACAAGTCAGTGTTATTGCAATGAATGTAATGTTGTTAGAGATCCTAAATTGGGTCTTCTTAGGTCCACATCACGGGAACACGTAAGGAAGGAGACAGTCCCAAAAAAGATCAAAAAACAAGGTTTATTTTAGTTTCTTCATGAAGAAGATGGACAGCCTGGCAGCATACGCAGATGCTAGCCTTCAAGTGACTGCCACGCCCCTCCTGTTTTTGCTGACTTTTATACTCAAGTAAACAAGAACATTTTTTGGGGTCATGGAAAGTACTCTCTTTCCAGCCCCTCTGCCTTGACCTTTTGATGGAAAGTACCTTCTTGTACCTGCAGACTCTACGCTTAACCACAACCTTTGAACTTAACCACAACACAACTACTTCCTATGTAGGCTTGAACTCTACATGTCACATCTTGTTTCTTAAAAACATTTTCTTCTATGTTGCTCCTTTTCTACAGAGAAAGGGTATATTTCTCTTTTGCTGTTAATTTCATTCAAAGCCCCTTGCTTAGCATTTTCAAATTTCACTCAAATACCTTTTCAATGTAAATAAAGATAAGAGCCGCTACTGAAGCAGAAACAACTGTGTCTGAAGTCAGTTAATGGGATGATAAGAAGTAAGTTGGCCAGCAAAGTGCATTGAGACACATGGTTGTGTCTTTGAACTGTTAGGAACAAAGATTACGCCAAGGCACAAAATATATAGTAAATCTTCAGAAGTATTATTTCAGTGCCCAAAACATCTACACTCCCATAAAATATATGTGGTTTAAAAACATGCCCTCAAGAGACAAAAATAAGTAGTCTTCATTAAAAGTAGCATAGTTTTGACAATGGCTTTCATGGCTGGAATCACTGGGTTGTTGTAGGGTTTTTTTGGGCTTTGTAGTCACGTTCCAGAAGCACTCTCTCCTGATGTTTCGTCTGCATCTATGGCAGGCATCCTCTAAGGTTGTGAGGTCTGTTGGAAACTAGGAAAATTGAGTTTATATATCTGTGGAAAGTCCAGAGTGGGAGAAATAACTCTTGTCTGTTGGAGGGAGGTGTGAATGTTTCAATTGGCCACCTTGATTAGCATTTGATGGAGCAACAGTTTTTTGGGGTGGCTTGTTACTGCCTGGGGGAATCCTTTGTTGAGAGGTGATTAGTTTCCTAGTTTCCAACAGACCTTACTACCTCTGAGGATGCATGCCATAGATGCAGGCGAAACGTCAGGAGAGAATGCCTCTAGAACATGGCCATATAGCCCAAAAACTTACGACAACCCAGTAACATTGTTGGTTTACGTACAAAGTTCATATATTCAGCATACAGGTACATTGCTCATCAGTTGAAAGTTTCAACACTAATTTTTCTAAGGCATTCTGTTGCCGTCTCTTCTCTGTCTGATGTCTAATTCATGCTCTCTTAATGCAAACTGAGCACACCCTAAATACAACCAACTATACAATACAGTGACTTCTAAAAATGGAGTCTCAGTCTGAATAGTCCCAGATCTGATCACATGGTCTGCAGTCCCTCCCACAACCTCAAACAACATAGAGGTAAGGGAAAGCTGCATACCAATACACACATATACAATACAGTAGTAAGCAATCTGAATTATGTACACAACAAGTAACTAGTGTAGGAGGCTAGTGGAAGGTTGCTCTTTCCAAAATCTTTCTCTTTCTTTATCCCTTCCTGATCTGGCCCTCTGACCAGATGGTTTCCATGGTCAAGAGGTGACTTTGGCAGACATTTTCCAAGTATTGCATTAACACTGCACTTTCCTCTTCCCTCCTTGTGTGTTCCTTCTAGGGACCCAGAGGTCTCCTAGGTCCCAAAGGACCCCCAGGAATCCCAGGACCCCCGGTAAGTGATGGGGAGGCACTCCCTTCAACTAAGCAAACCCCCAAGGCTCCTCGTCCCACCAGTGACCTTTTCCTCTGTCTGTCCATCCATCCTAACAGGGCGTCCGAGGCATAGACGGGCCGCATGGACCGAAGGGCAACCTGGTGAGTAGCCACTAAAGCGGGGGGGGGGGGGGCACTTTGGGTCTTTGTGGTGCAAATTCAAATGGATCATAGACTCCTGGCCCATGTCCAGCTCATGGTCCCAGGTCTCCCAGATCCCCTTCTCATGTAGTTTGGTATCTGGTTTGTGGTCCAGGGTTTCACGTGTCCTGTTGTCTCCTTCCCAGGGTCCGCAAGGGGAACCAGGGCCCCCTGGTCAGCAAGGGACGCCAGGAACCCAGGTAAGTGGCAGCTGGTCAAGGTGGTCAAGGAACACTGTATATGGCCTCTTATATGGCCCAAGGTGAAGAGGGCTCTGTATGTTTGTCTGGACCATTTAATGCATGCGAAAGCAAAATCTGCTGCCCATTGGTGTGTAGATTGCCTTTGAATATAGAAGCTCAACAAAGCCATTGATGAAACTGGCCTGTGATGTCAAACTGGGTTAACGCTACAGTATAGGTGAAGCCATAGTTGGATTTACGAGGGTTGAATGAAAAGTAATGCCTCCACCTTCGTAACTCCTCAACAGATGGCAGTCCTGGTATGCGGCAGGTACTGGCTTGTTCAGTAGACTCTCCTCTACAGTTCCATTTTGGCAGGAAGCCTTAGCATTGAATGGTTGTGTTGTTAAAGTGCGAAGTATGGAACCCTGTGCTGACGATCGGTCAATGCGACTTAAGCAACATGCTGTCCTTGAATTCTTGACAGTAGAAGGTGACACCCCAAAGGAGATTCATCAGAGAATGCAAGCTGTTTGTGGTGATTGTGTTGATGTGAGTACTGTGCGTCATTGGATGAGAAAGTTGAAAGATGTTGAAGTAGGAACATCGGACTTGCGTGACAAACAACAAGTTGGACGTCCTGTGGCAGCAACCACCGAGTTTCACAAACAAAAGGTTGACAGATTGATTCAGGACGATTGTTGTATCACTCAGAGAGAAATTCCAAGCATAATCAGCATTTCACAAGAGTGTGTGGGTCACATTATTGTTTTGCTTGGCTATTGAAAGTTCTGTGCACGATGGGTACCCAGGATGAGAGAACTGTGAGACGCTGGTTGCGGAAACAGAGTGTTGACTTCTTCCATGACGGCTTCAGAAAACTTATTCATCGTTGACAGAAATGTATCCAATTGTCTGGTGATTATGTGGGAAAGTGAATCATGGTCATTAAAGATCACATTCTAAGGATTATTTCTGCATTTGATTTATTAAAATATTCCCATCCAAACCCAAGTAACGAAGGTGAAGGCATTACTTTTCATTCAACCCTCATACTATAGAAGACAGTCAGAAATTAACAATAACATATCATCTACATACAGTCATAAGGCCATGCGGATGTCACTCAGCTGCAGTTCCACTGTGCCTCCCCAAACTACAACTCCCCAGATTCCTTAGCATTGAGGTGCAGCAGTTGAAGTGGTTCCAAACTGTATTCATTCCACAGTGTAGATGCACCCATAGTCAGATCCAGCAAAGGAGACTGAGGGTCACATATGACCAATAGCATATCATCTACATATAGCAGAAGCAGGAGGGAAATCACAAGGCCACACAGATGTCACTAAACTGTAGTGTCCATCATTCCTCACCATTGTTGATACTGACAGGTGGCTGTTGACAATTCAAGTCCAAGTCCCTCTGGACACTCACATGATTCTCAACTTTGGCCCAAAGTATAACTTTAAATGAAATTAAACAAATACTGCATAAATGCATGGATATGTCCCTAGTCATCTTTTTTTGGGACCGGTGTCAGAAATAGAATCGGTTGAAAAGTGGAACACATTAACCATGTTCAGAAAATGGGAAAGGTCTTTAATGATGGTGCCTCCCCAAACTACAACTCCCATAATTCCTTAGCATTGAGGTTTGGCAGTTGAAGTGGTTCCAGACTGCATTCTTTCTACAGTGTAGATACATCCATTGTTAAATCCAGCATAGAAGACAGAAGGTCACACAAGACCAATAATATATCATCTATGTATAGCAAAGGTAGTGGGAGGGGGAGGGGGTAAATCACAAGGTCACACAGATGTCATTAAACCATAGTTTCCATCATTCCTCATCATTTCTGCTGTTAGCCGGCCTGAGTCCCTCTTCGGAGGTCAAGAAGACTGGGTTATAAAAGCTCTAAATAAATATAAATAAATAAATAAATAAATTGTTTTTCCTGGACAGTGGCTGCTGGGGATTGTAATCCATGAACCTCTGGATGCCAGCTTAATTTCCCTGCGGTCACTGGGCAGTCTGGGAACTATAGTCCAAAGAAAATGGGCCATGTTGTCCTCTCCTGAATCCTGCTGCACATTGTTAATGCTGCCTGCCCTCATTTCATTCTGTGTTCTCTTTCCAGGGTCTGGCCGGACCCCAAGGCCCCATGGGACCTCATGGGGAAAAGGTGAGAGAGGCCAGCCTCCTGACCCCAAAATATTATGACTCCAAAAGGTGAGATGACCCCATATCTGACCTGACCCTTCCTTCTTTTCTCCTTCTTCAGGGCCCCACAGGAAAACCGGGTCTCCCAGGGATGCCTGGCTCCGACGGACCTCCGGTAAGTATCAGACCTTCATCCTCTTTTCTCCTTTTAATACGCCACCCCAATAAATACCACCTTGATTTAATAGGAAATAGTTGAGAGGCCATTTCCTCTTGCTTTTTCTGGAGTACATTCCAATTTTGGAATGACAGCCCTAATTAATCCTCTGCTGTCCTATCTTCCCATCTTCTCTTTAAATGTCCTGGTTTCTCTCTCCATTTCCTACTTTCTCCTTTTATCCTCAATGAAAATACTGAAAGCTGTTTTCAAAGTACAAAAAGTATAACAAAAAATTGCGCTGGAGGACCTAGAAAATGCCTAGAGAGAACACTTGCGCAGCATTTCTAGGTCCTCCAGCACAAATCCGATCAACTTCCAAAGGAAGCATACCATAGAATTGTACTGGACAACCTGGAAAATGCAGAGAAGCCACTTCTCCAGTTTTTCTGGGTCTTCCAAAGCAACTCTATGGTTACTGGTGGAAACATAACATAAAACTGTACTGAAGGACTGTTTAAAAGACCAGAGAGATCCCACTAATAGTTCTAGGTCTGCCAGAATAACTCTATGATCAGCTAATAGCAAAAGCATAACATAGAATTGCATTGGAGGACTTTGTATAAGCCAAGAGGGGACACCTTTCCTTAATTTCTTGATCCTCCAGTAGAATTCTATGGCCAACCCCTAGTGGAAGTGTACCCAGAGCTGGCCCCTGAATCAAGTTCCAAAGAGAGGGGAGGTTGTTTGGAGTCTCTGCCCCGCCTCTTAGGTTTGAGGGCAGGTGCAGGGGCCAATTAGATGCCGCGCATGCACTCCCAGACAGGTGTCTGTCCTTCTTCTTCCTCCTCTGAGAGGAAGCTTTTGTGCAGCCTGCTCCCTTCTGAGAGCATTGGGGGAGATGTACTGAGCTGAAGGCGGGATGTCAGGGAGCTGGCAGCCACCTCAGCCAGCACTCCGTGGCTGGGCCTCCTCCTGTGGGCGCCTCAAGAGCGCCCCTCGGGGATTGGCACTATACGCAAATGCGTATCTTGCCTATTGCTTCAAACACCCCTGAGCATACCATAGAATTGCACTATAGGAGCTAGAGAATGCCTAGGGAGGGTATATTCTAATAATATGTTCTATTTGGAAATCTCTCAGTCCTCCAGCACAATGGAGAAAGCTAACCATAGAGCCACACTGAAGGATGTAAAGATTCCTAGAGATAACATTTTAAAATCAAAACCGTGAATAATCCAGTCCATAAAAGTCAAAATCGCAAATGTGCGGAACTGACTGTACACTAAGACCTTTGAATCTGTAAGGTAGATATATTCCTAGCCAAATACAACCAAAGGCCATTGGAGTACCTCATGTCTTGTCCCAGTGTTCCATAGAATTGTGTTGTAGGACCTAGAGATTCCTAGAGAGGTATTTGCCAAGTCCTCCAATGCAATTGTGGGGGTCAATGAAATGAAATGAATACCAAATGGGTTTCTGTTCTTCTCTTTCAGGGCCACCCGGGTAAAGAGGGCCACCCAGGAACCAAAGGGAACCAGGTGAGAGGTTTCAGATTATGCTGGCCTTCCTCACAGGGCCGTTGTGAAGGGAAACGGAACAAGGAAGCGGGATGAGAAGATCTCGGGGATTTTCCTACTGGGAGGATGTTTCTATAGGTGCCAGTTCTATCTATTAAGGCCTTTGGAGACCAATTTCATTGACATTATTGTTGTGGGATATGTGTGTGACTTATAGTTTTCCACTCACACCCTCCCTGGAAACACTGCACACTGGACAAAATGGCACAGAGACAAAGAAAAACAGCAGAGTTTATTCATAGCGACGAGCAGTTTTGCTCAGTTAATCAGTCTTATCAGCAAAGTATTTTAGCACACTGTTTAGAAAACTCACAGATTCAGTTTTCATCCAAAATATCAGGAGACTTTAATCTTGACATGTTGCACAATTTACAGCTGTTCACAGATCAGGATCCCCTGATCCACAATCAATTGGTAGATACAGAGCTATACTAACAATGCGGTTCACTCAGCCAGAGACAGATTGAGCATTTCCTCTCTCCTTTTATAACTACGAGTTGCCTTGTCATCAGTAAGGGACAAATGAATGATGCAATCCTTTTGTTGCCCTCCAGGACAGGAAAAGCCCTCTGACATTAAACACCACACCGTTGGATAGGGAAACAATCATTTTATTGAAGATAATTAAAAAGCAGGAAAGTAAAAAAGCACTTTAAAGAAATACTTTACTTATGCCCTGCTTTCCTTGTTAAAGTCTTGGAACGTGTGGTGGCCTCACAACTCCAGGTATTCTTGGTAGACACGGATTATCTAGACCCGGCACAGTCTGGCTTTAGGCCGGGACATGGTACCGAGACAGCCTTGGTCGCCTTAGTGGATGATCTGCGCCGGGAGCTCGACAGGGGGAGTGTGTCCCTGTTGGTGCTGCTGGACCTCTCAGCGGCCTTCGATACCGTCGACCACGGTATCCTTCTGGGACGCCTCGCGGGGATGGGTCTTGGAGGTACTGTTTTGCATTCCTAGAGGGTCGATCTCAGAAGGTGTTGTTGGGGACACCTGTTCAACCCCACAACCATTGTCTTGTGGGGTTCCTCAGGGCTCAATATTGTCTCCCATGTTGTTTAACATCTACATGAAGCCGCTGGGGGAGATCATCCGGAGTTTCGGGGTGCGGTGTCATCTGTACGCAGATGATGTCCAACTCTGTCACTCCTTTCCACCTGCTACTAAGGAGGCTGTCCAGGTCCTGAACCGGTGCTTGGCCGCTGTGACGGTCTGGATGAGGGCGAACAAATTGAAATTGAATCCAGACAAGACAGAGGTACTCCTGGTTAGTCTATTTTCTTCTTCTTTTCTCTTCCTTCTTTCTTTCCTTCCTTCCTTCTTATTGCTTCCTTCTTTCCCTCCTTTTTTTCCTTTCTCTTTCTCCGACAAGACAGAGGTACTCCTGGTTAGTCGCAAGGCCGAACAGGGCATAGGGTTACAGCCTGTGTTGGATGGGGTCGCACTCCTCCTGAAGACGCAGGTTCGCAGCTTGGGTGTGACCCTGGACTCATCGCTGAGCCTGGAACCCCAGGTTTCGGCGGTGACCAGGGGAGCATTTGCACAATTAAAACTTGTGCGCCAGCTGCGCCCGTACCTTGGGAAGTCTGACCTGGCCACGGTAGTCTACGCTCTGGTTACATCCCGTATAGACTACTGCAACGCTCTCTACGTGGGGTTGCCTTTGAAGACTGTCCAGAAGGATTGGCCACGGTAGTCCACGCTCTGGTTACATCCCGTTTAGACTACTGCAATGCTCTCTACGTGGGGTTGCCTTTGAAGACGGCTCAGAAGCTCCAACTAGTCCAACGCTCGGCAGCCATGATTCTAACAGGAGCGGAGCACAGGGAGCATACAACCCCCCTGCTGCGCCAACTCCACTGGCTACCGATTTGCTACCGGGCTCAATTCAAAGTGCTGGCGTTGACCTTTAAAGCCCTAAACGGTTCCGGCCCAAGCTACCTATCCGACCGCATCTCTGCCTATGAACCCACCAGGACTTTGAGATCTTCCGGGGAGGCCCTGCTCTTGATCCCGCCTGCCTCACAGGCACGGCTGGCGGGGACGAGAGATAGGGCCTTCTCGGTGGTGGCCCCGCGGCTGTGGAATGCCCTTCCCACGGACATTAGACTAGCTCCATCATTAATGGTATTCCGCAAAAAAGTGAAAACCTGGTTGTTTGAGCAGGCGTTCGAATAGTCAGTGCAATGAATGTAATGAACATAGGAATGGAACAATGGATGACGGATCTGGATCATGTTTTTAGTGATGAGACGCTAGTGAATGGCTATTGGTGTTAATTGTATATTGTTGTTAATTGTATACTTTTCTATAATATGTTATGATGTTAACTGTTTTTTATACTGTGTTATGGTAGCATGGAATTTTTGCTGTTCTTGTTGTTAACCGCTGTGAGTCGCCTAAGGGCTGAGAACAGCGGTATACAAATAAATAATAAATAATAAATAAATAAATGAAACTCAATGTGTGAGAAAGGGTGGAAGAAAAGAAAGAGCCACAAAGAGCCATTGTTGACAAAGTATTGTCAAGGAGATCTTGTGAAGTAGGCTGGGGAAGGGAGGAAGCAGATGGACAGCGTCCCCAATGTCACCTGGGCAACAAAGCCAGGAATATATGCTAATTGCATATAACATTACCTGTCTTCCAGGGTCCATCAGGTCCTCAGGGTTCAATTGGATACCCAGGTCCCCGTGGTGCAAAGGTAGGTGTCCTGCATTTCCCTGTGTGGCTTTTGCAGTTATCTGTGGCTGCTGGAGTGGGAGTGGGTGGGATGTGGCCACGAGGAGCAAAAGTGACCCTATCCAGATTCAGCCAAATCCTATTCATGCTTGGGGTCCAATATGGTCAACTGACCACTGCAGGCTTCCATATCTATTAGATTCCAGATTGGCAAAGTTGGATTTAGGGAGAATTTTGTGGGGCTCAATTTAAGGAGAGATTTGGGAGTTCTGTGGGATTTGGAGAGTTTTCACCTGCATTGATATCAAATAATTACCTCTCTCTACCTGTCTCCCAGGGAATGGATGGCATCCGGGGCCTGAAGGGTCACAAGGGCGAGAAGGTAAGACCTGGGTTTAACACATAATACAAGGAAAGCCACAAAACCTTAATTGTGAGTTTCAGCTTCAGGAACGATGCAATCTTCCCCCCTTTCAGAGATCAGCGATGGCGAAAGAGGCCATCCTTATCTAGGCCCTTGGTGGTTTTGTCAGTTCTCCCTTGATCAAGCACTTAGGTTGTCATAGATGTCGTAGTTCTGTTGATTTGTGCACTTTGATTGTTGTAGTTCTGTATGATCAATTCCTGGAAATTTAGTCCACAAAATTTAGTCTCCCTATGATTTCCTATATGAAGCCTGACATGTGGCTCCAGACAAGGACTTGGGCAGAACAGGGTTGAAATCCCTGCTTACCCCAGAAAGCCCATTGGGTGATCCTAGATGAGTCATGCTCTCTCAGGCTCAGAGAAAAGGTCCTCATAGATCTGGCCAAGAACATTCTGGGAGAGGCAGCATGGTGGAATGTTTTGAGCCTTGGATTAGGGTTGTGGGAGAGATGGATTCGAATCCCTGCTCATCCATGGAAACGCAGCTTGAGCTAGACATACCATTGACCCTTTAGGGTTTGCTGGAGAAATCATGCCAAGAAACCCCAGTGACAGGCTCATTTCAGGATTGCTCTTAATATCTTCTAAGACCATCATTATATCATCTGCAAACATTCTCCTTTGTATTGATTCTTTTTTGTGATCTTCTCATCTTTCATCTCTTATTACTGTCTTCTTTCTCTTAGTAGTACTTTCCATGTTAAAAAAAAGTAGTGGGGAAAGTGAACGTCTTTGTCTTGTTCCTTTTTCTATTTAACAAATGTCAGTTAATTCTTCATTTTATGTCGGTAGTCCTTGCGTAGCAACTACCATTAAATGAAGAGTCTCTTTATTTCCAAAGGACCTTTACTGCTAATGCCCAGAAGTGATGCCATTACCAAACATGTTTTTGTGAAGACTCAAAGGTCTCCCTATGATTTCCTATATGAAGCCTGGCATGTCCACTGTTCCTAGGATCATAAAACATGCTGATCTCCTCCTAACACCATGAGAGAAAAGGCCTGCCTGCCTTCCTTCCCTTCCATTTTATGGTTTCCTGGTAACACCTTTAGAGTTTCTGCCATAGGACCCTTCACACATTCACTACACATTCACAGACCCTACTTTGTCTCCTTAATGACATGACATGGCAATTTATTTGTATTCTTGCATATTGTCAGCTATAAATTTATTTTATTCAAGTCCCAAAGTTTTTGTTCCATATTCATTTTTTTTCTGTTACTGCGAGCATGAAGTTTCACTGTAAGTTATCAAATGCCTTCTCAGCGTCTAAGAAAATCAAAGCTACTTGTTTTTCGTTGTGTTTTGCTAAATATTAATTGAATCATAGAATTGGAAGGGACCCCTAAGGGCCATCCAGTCCAACCCCCTTCTGGCTTGCAGGAAAAACACAATCAATGCCTTCCTGACAGATGGCCATCCAGCCTCTGCTTAAAAACTTCCAGAGAAAGAGACTCCACCAGATTTGGAGGCAGCAGCATATTATACTGTTGAAGCGTTCTGACTACTTTGAGGTTCTTCCTAATATTTAGAAGGATCCTATTTGATTCCATTGCGTTTCTTGTATTATTTCATCATTGTCGCTTAGCTAAAAAATACTACATTGATTTTGGTCTATAATGTTTTGCTGTATAATGCCTTAAAAGCAACCAGTAAGTAATAATGAGATTTGTTTCCTGATGGAAGAGTCATCCATAACTCCGCTGCCTTGTTCCTCTTTCCTGCAGGGAGAAGAGGGCTTCTCTGGGCAGAAGGGCGATTTTGGCGTCAAAGGGGACCGGGTAAGAACACCCCCACTTTGGGGTCCCGCACCCCTCTCAAGACATAATCTCTTGTGAGACCCGGGTGGTGGCTTCATTCCCTGACTTTCCTTCCTGTCTAAACTTAGGGTGAAGCCGGTGTCCCAGGATCCCGAGGTGAAGATGGACCAGAAGGTCCCAAGGGACGGACGGGACCCCCAGGAGACCCAGGCCCCATTGGGCTTCTGGGAGAAAAGGTGAGCAAACAAATTGGAGATGGAAAGGATGCACACACCTGGTCCCGTTTTCTCTATAGACCAGACCTTCCCCATGGAATCGCTTCAATGTCTCCCGTTCTTTTTCTTCTTGCAGGGAAAGCTCGGGGTGCCGGGTCTGCCTGGATATCCGGGGCGGCAGGGCCCCAAGGTCAGTATGAGACCCCCACGGGGCGGTCATTATACCCCTGCTCTTTCTCTCTATATAAAGTACAGTATGTGTGTATATGTATACACACACACACACACACACACTAACTTATGTACCCAGTGCTGCGCAAATATGCATTCTGTCCTGTTGTTACTTGGAAATACTCTTTCTTAGCTTTTCGATTTTAGGCTCATGGCCTAATCACTTGAACGGTTCCAGATCTGGCCTTTTCTTGGAAGTCACATTTTCTCTGCCTCAAATAAAGGTGCAGGTGTACACACACACACCCCTTCCAAAATATTAACCTTCATTAAATTGCTTCCTTCCTTTAGGGATTAATGTCCTAACCATGACCTTCAGGGCTGTGTTTTTCGCCTCGTGATAAGCCTCATCCTGGGACTTTTCAAGGGAACGTCATTTAGTTTGCTAGTAGCGAATCCTTTCAGTGTATGCTCTGCCACCCTCCTGTTGTTGCATCTGAGCACTGCATACATACATTACTATGGGCCAATAGCTAATCCTTTCTATCCCTATACTGCCCTCTTGTGGTCACATCCAAGCAATGCATGTATGCAAACATCCTCAGAGGCCAGGAGCTAATCCTTTCTGCCTATACGCTGCCATCTTGTGGCTGCATTTGAGCACTACATACATACATACATACATACCTGGAGGCCAGCAGCGAATCCATTGCATCTATATACTGCCATCTGGTAGTTGCACCTATTGGCTGCATGCATTTATTCATTTTTGGGGCCTTTGTCCCAAAAAGGGCTTTTGTTTTCATTTGAAATCCTGCCAGTATTTTAACTTAGACCAAGGAAAATAAGTGTGCCATGTTTGACCCAGATCCATCAGGCAACGGAGGAGCCTTTGTGGAACAAGCATACATATATATTTTCACTTTTATATTGAGAAGTGGGGCGAGGGGGGGGGGGACAGAGGAAGCAGATTTTCATAATATATCACTCAAACTATAGCATCTTTCAAAATTTAAGACAAACTACCCAAAACGCATGTTGTTGGGTCCTTAAATTTGAAGCCTGTGAAATCTTCCATTTACTTGTTCTTCCTCCATTTCAGTCTAACAGTAATGTACAGTAGGTTCTTGTGGGTTTTTTCGGGTATATGGCCATGTTCTAGAGCAGTGGTTCTCAACCTGGGGGTCGGGACCCCGAGGGGGGTCATGAGGGGGTGTCAGAGGGGTCGCCAAAGACCATCAGAAAGCACAGCATTTTCTGTTGGTCATAGGGGTTCTGTGTGGGAAGCTTGGCCCAATTCTATCGCTGGTGAGGTTCAGAATATTCTTTAATTGTAGGTGAACTATACATCCCAGCAACTACAACTCCAAAATGTCAAGGTCTATTTTCCCCAAACTCTACTAGTGTTCACATTTGGACATATTGAGTATTTGTGCCAAGCTTGGTCCTGATACATCATTGTTTGAGACCCCAATGCTCTCAGAATGTAGGTGAACTACAACTCCAAAACTAAAGGTCAGTGCCCACCAAACCCTTCCCAGTATTTTCTCTTGGTCATGGGAGTTATGTGTGCCAAGTTTGGTTCAATTCCATCATTGGTGGAGTCCAGAATGCTCATTGATTGTAGGTGAACTATAAATCCCAGCAACTACAACTCCCAAATGACAAAATCAATACCCTCCCCCAACCCCACTAGTATTCAAATTTGGGCATATTGGGCATTTGTGCCAAATTTGGTCCAGTGAATGAAAATACATCTTGCGTATCAGATATTCATATGACAATATATAACAGCTGCAAAATTACAGTTATGAAGTAGCAATGGAAGTAATTTTATAGTTGATGGTCACCATAACATGAGGAACTGTATTAAGGGATCACAGCATGGGCCATGTTCTAGAGGCATTTCTCCTGATGTTTCACCTGCATCTATGGCAAGCATCCTCAGAGGTGAGGTCTGCTTGGAACTGGGAAAAAAGGGGTTTATATATCTGTGGAATGACCAGGGTGAGACAAAGGGCTTTTGTCAGTTGAGCTAGGTGTGAATATTTCAACTGATGTACAGTGTTCCTTCACTTAATATGGTGGTTACGTTCCAGAACCACCCGCGATAAGTGAAAATCTGCAAAGTAGGGATGCTGTTGTGACTCAGCTGGAATCTCAGAGTGATTCTGATGGGGATGATGGGATTCAGATTCACAGTCAGGTGCAAAGCAAGGATATGCCTGTGTTAGATGAAGAAGACCAGGAACAGGGGGCAGAAGTTCAGTTGTTTCCCACAGCAAAGGATGACGCTGTTGAAAGTGAAACTGCTGAGAACCAGGTGCATGAGTGAGCAGGAAGGGAGGACGGTTCTCAGCCAGATAATGAGGGAAAGAGCACTAATGAGGGAATTGACCTTGATGAAGCCGGAGGTTTGGATTGAGCCAATCGGTTGGAATTTAAGGTTCGAAGGAGTGTCAGGATCGCTAGCAGGCGAGAGAGGGAGGCTCGGGGCCATAGAAACACCTTCATGTTGTCCAAAGTGTATTAAACAGGCTGTTTGCATGTGCCTCAGTTTCAGAGCAACTTCCCGCTTCAACCAAGAGACTTTGGATTTATCTTGCAGCTTTCATGTTCATGTTTTAGGACTTTGCCGTGTGCTCATGGGACTTGGCCTGACCTGTGTCTTCATGGATCTTGTTTGCCTATGTTACCTTGGATTTTTTCTTTTGAGATATACCTTTGCCTTTTTGAACTTTTTATCTTTTCTTTAATAAACCATAAAGACTACTGCTGGTGTGTGTTGTGGCTGAGCTAGATTCTGACGATGAGGATGATGGGATTCAGATTCCTGTTGGGTTTCAGCTTCCTGGCTCTTTGTCTGTGCCTCAAATCTCTGAGCCTGCTTCCGAGGCTCTCACAGACAGTGCAGTGTCAACACAGCTGTTTTCACCAGAAAGGAATGTTAATGAAGCGAATAGCGAGCAGGTGCCTTCCCACGATGATACCGAAAGTACAGACAAGCTTGCCTTGATCTCCGGGTCAGGCGGAATTTGCATCTGGCAAGCAGACGGGAGGTTAGCTTGGTACGAGGTCATCGCAATGCTTTTATGATGCTGAGAGCCTAATGTTTTGATGTTAGAAAGGTATTTAGGCCTCCTGGAAACTCTGTGAAAGCGTCAGTTCAATGTAGCTTATTGGCCTGAAAACTTCATGGAATAACCTTAGCCTGGAAAGCAGTACGCTTGGGATTTCTTGCATCGTGATTCTTGGGGCAAATGTTTCATTGCTTGTACCTGGGACTCGGTTTGAACTTTGCCAATAGGATTATGTCTCCTGCTTTTACCTGAAGATTTTTGGAACTGTATTCTGCATTTAATCTTAATCTCTGGGACTTTGCAATGCTTACTCTTTATTTTGACTTGGATTTTTTTCCTCAATAAACTATAAAACTACAGCTCTTGTGTGGTGGTGTTTAGAAGCAAGGTGAAGCCTACTCTGAGTTGCAACAGTGTGTTCTTTGGTGTCTTAAGCAAGATGATTTTACTCTGAGGTGCGACAGACGCCATATTAATTGTAAGGCCAGGGAGGCAGGACTGGATGTTGTTGGGGTGGCAGCAGGGTCTCCGGCAGGCTGCATCCCTGCCCGGAACAAGAAGGAGGACAAAGCACGTCCGCTTGCATCCTGAGCCACCAACAAAATGAGCAAAAACAGCGACAGGACACGAGGGGCCACACACCAGCCTCCCTTCTGAGACCCGTTGTAATGTAAATATTTTATATTAATATTTATTAAAAATCTGCAAAACAGCGAGTCCACGTAAAGCAAACCGCGAAGCAGCGAGGAAACACTGTATACGTTGTAGCAATCAGCAAAAAAATCAACCCATATCATTTTCCTAATGTTAATGCTGTTCAAAAACCTCTAGACAGACAGAAGAAGGGATGAAGATACCTGGTGAAACATTAGTTCGTTGCCAAAGGTTTTCGGACTTACTTGTATGTCTAACGGTGTTTCTGTTTCCCACAGGGTTTGCAAGGCTTCCCAGGATTCCCAGGGACCAACGGCGAGAAAGGAGGCCGGGTAAGAAACCCTTCTCTCCAAATACGTAGTACTCCCCACTTCCTTCTTCGGGGGGATGGCATGGCACTTACAGGGGGGCAGTCCAGTTTGGGGGAACCCCAGAAAGACTGATCACAAAGGGAAAGGGCAACTTGCCAGGATTTGGCAAGATTTGGATTCGGAGCCCAATGTCTTGCTCTCATTCTTTTCCGCAGGGCATTTCTGGGAAACTTGGACCCCGAGGCGAGCGAGGACCCACAGTAAGTAATGGGTTGAATAGGGGGATAAAAGAATATGGAGGTGGTTACTCTTATTCTTACGATTCTTATTAATATTTATTATTATTATTTACAGTATTTCTATTCCGCCCTTCTCACCCCGCAGGGACTCAGGAAAGATTACAATGTACATATACATGGCAAACATTCAATGCCATAGACACACAACATATATAGACAGACACTCAGAGGCTATTTAACATTCCAACTTTTTCTGGCCATCAGGGGAGCTGTCACTTCACTGTCCGTCTGCGACACCGATGAAGTACTTCCTCATTCCCCACATGCTTGCTGGAGATTTTTATGGCCTTGTAAATTAGTTAAATTAGCCTCCCCACAAAGTGGTAACTAAATTTCCCACTTGACAGATGCAACTGTCTTTTGGGCTGCAAAGGTCAACAACAAGCTACACAAATTGGTCGAAAGCTCACTCTGACCCGGGCTGGCTTCAAACTCATGACCTTTCAGTCAGTAGTGATCTCAATGCAGCTGACTCCCAGCCAGCTGTGCCACAGCTTATGATTCTTATTACCCAACTTTGGATCTCTTAATTGAGATCCAAAGCAGGTCTTCAATATCACATAAATCTCAACACTTTCTTGGAACGAAAGAAACCTGGGCAATTGGTCTCTCAGTCTCGCTCCCTTGAAGGATTTGTTTTTTAATAGACACATTTTACCAGCAATATGTTTTGCCATACAATTTGTAAATTGGTATTTTTCCAAAACATCCCTTATTTTTGAATCTGGCTCTATGTTTCTTTTTTTCCGCTCAGCAATATAAATGTCATTATACAATTTGTAAAAGTCTGTAATTTCCCAATACAACGCTTCCTTTTATTCTGTGTATTTAATCTGTGTAATTTTTGAGTAATAGAAGTATTATTATACCACCTGTAAAGTTAGTATTTTCCAATAAATCATCTATTTTTATCTATCTGTATATTTTTTTTCCAGAAATATACGTATCATTATATAAGTTGTAAAGTCAGTAATTGTCCCAATACAGCACTTATTCTTTTTATCTATATACTTAATTTTTTCAACTACGTTGCTTGTTTTTATCGTACAATCTGTAAAGTCAGTATTTTCCAGCAGGTCACCAATTGTTATCTTTCTATATATTATTTTTTTCCAGCAATGTATGTATGATTATATTTGTAAAGTCTATAATGTTCCAATGCACCTTTGAGTCTTCTCTATCTACATACATTGCCCTGGTAGTGCAATGGGTTAAACCCTTGTGTGGGCAGGACTGAATACTGACAGGCCAGAGGTTCGAATCCGGGGAGATTGCGGATGAGCTCCCTCTGTTAGCTCCAGGTCCCTATGCGGGGACATAAGAGAAGCCTCCCACAGGATGGTAAAACATCTGGGCATCCCCTGGGCAATGTCCTTGCAGACGGCCAATTCTCTCACACCAGAAGCAACTTGCAGTTTCCCAAGTCACTCCTGACACACACAAAAATCTACATACAGCTATTGTGGTTTCATCTGAGTGCTGCATACATTCATTAACCTATTCATTATTTTTGGGGGCCTTAGCCCTGAATAAGTGATTTTTTTCAGAGGAAATTCCACCAATATTTTAAGTTGGATGATGATGGGTATGTGTACCAAGTTTGGTCCAGATCCATTAAGTCATATAGGAGTCTTTTGTGGTATGAACATGTATAATACCTCCAGTGCTATATATGTAAATCAGACATGGGCCAGCTTTGGACTCCAGGTGTTTTGGACTTCAACTCCCACAATTCCTAACAGCCTACCAGACATGAAGTCTGAAATACCTGGAGGGCTGAAATCCACCCATGTCTGATACAGGTGGAGTCAGGAGCTGAGTTTGCAAGGCCTAGGATGGACATGGAAAGGTCTTCTCTACCTCCCTTGAAAGGTCTCTTTTTCACCCCTTTTCCCTCTTTTTCTCCTTTCTCTGCAGGGCCCCAGGGGCCAGCGAGGGCCTCGAGGAGCAACGGGAAAGTCGGGAGCAAAGGTGGGTCACCGCTTTTCACACGCGTTTATTCCATTGACATTGTGCTTCTATCTCTCAAATGGGACACAAGGCTCCTGGCAGCATTAAAGAAGAACAAAGCCATTTAAAAAACACAGCATAGATATATCAAAGTAGTCATTCCACCTCAGGGTCATCTGGGCAACATCTCCCTTCTCAATAGATTGATCGATTGGTTGATTTTTTTTGTGTATTTGTGTGCACAGATGCTTCTATGCTCTAGAATTAATACAGTTTGGCACCACTTTGACTGTGTTGGTTTCAGGGCTGTGGAACCCTGGGAATTATAGTTTGGTGTGGCACCAGATTATTTGGACAAAGTAGGATAAAGTCCTTGTAAAACTACAACTCCCAGAATTCCATAGGCTTGAGCCAAACAAATGATAGATCCAGGCCCAGACCATTTCATACTGGAGGGAAAAGTGATTTTCTGGTGTCCTTCCAGTGCCAACTAATGGTGGAAAATGACCCTACCAGGGGCACTGGAAGACTAGAGATTCCTAGAGAGAAGTGTTCCCCCAAGCAACCTCCCAGTTCTCCAGTGTGACTCTGTACACCATTTCTGGTGGAAGTTGACCATATGGTTACACTGGAGAACCCCTTCATGGATCTCTCTCTCTCTCTAGAGATGTGTATTTTCAAGCTAGCCTTGAATGAGTGCCTGTGTTTTTAATGTCTACACCTGCTCTTCTATTTCACTTTGCTCTCCCTTTCTGCCTCCCATTCAGGGTACTTCCGGTGGCGAAGGGCCAGCTGGGCCTCCTGGTGAACTGGTGAGAGGAACAATAACAACATAATTCAACTACTGCTGTTGTGGTGGTTACTATGAAACTCACACCTGGGAGGGTCGCAATTGGGGATCTGGGGGAGTTGTCCCAGTCCTGGGCTGTGAGGATAAGAGGTCTCTAAGTTGTACAGCTTGACACGTGTGGGAAGATACAGGAAAAAAGGAAGGATGGCATCACCATCATCAGTCTTTCATAAGTGGACTGTAGGATTGCCCTCAAAGATCTAGAAATTCCTTGACAGAATAGTTCTCTATGCATTTGTAGGTCCTCCACTTTGCAGAAATTTGAATCACACACAGGCACAGTAATACCTATTTATCCTTAAATCCAGATCTGTATCCACAGGTTATGGGCCCAGATTGTTTTAAGAGATTCAGGTAGATCAGTCATGGGCAAACTTAAGTAAGCTGTTAGGAATTGTGGGAGTTGAAGTCCAAATTACCTGGAAGAAGGGTCAAAGTTTGCCCATGCTTCCCATAGACTCAGAGGACCAGTGCTATTTAGGGGAGATAGTTGCAGTTGAACAAAAGATCCACTTGCTCTCCATAAGCAGCCAACGTCACTCCATCCATCCTCACCGATTCTCCTTGTTCTTCTCCTCCTCTTTCTCTTTCTCTTCCTCCTCCTCCTTCCTCTTCCTCCTTCCTCCTCCTCTTCCTCCCTCCTTCTCCTCATCTTCCTCCTTCTCCTCCTTTTCCTCCTTTTCAGGGGCTCCCTGGATCCCAAGGACCCAACGGCTTCCCTGGCCCCAAAGGACCTCCGGTGAGTATCTTGTTTTATGTACGACCCTCCAAGTTTCCCCCAAATATTGAGTTCTGCCCCTTTTCCTTCCCTCCCTTCCCTCCTGAGTGTTGACTTCTTGCCCAAATATCTCTCCTGCAGGGTCCCCCCGGGAAGGATGGTCTCCCCGGACACCCAGGCCAGCGAGGAGAAGTGGTGAGTGACTGCAAAACAGGCCAAAGGTCAATGAGGCATTGATGGAAGGGACCCCTAGAGGTCATCCGGTGGGAGGGAGGGATCCATGCCTGACCCAACTTCTCTTGAAGGACCACCAAAGGAGAGACCCCTCTGTACAGTCCTATAGCATTACAAGGAATGATGGGACCACAAGGAGAGAAGAGACCCCCTCCAGTGGTCATCTATCACAGTCCCCTCCTGGGAGAAGCCCCTCACCTGCAGTCTTATAGCATTGGAATGAATGATGGGACCCCAGGGATGGAAGGGAGTTCCCCAAGGCCATCTAGTCCAGTTCCCTCCTGAGACAAACTCACCCAACCCCTCTTGAAGGACCAGAATGAGCCAGACTGGCAGAATCCACAATCCTGTAGCATTGGAAGGAATGATAGGACCACAAGGAGTCATCAAGTCCAGTCTAGTCCAGCCCCCTCCTGAGAGAAACCCATACAACTTCTTTTGAAGGACCTCCAAAGAAGGAGAGACCACCAGCCCCTCCTTGAGGCAGTCTCTTCCGTTCTTTAAGCGTCTCCTATAACCAAGAGGTTCTTCCCAATGTTTCATAGGGATGAAAAAATTGGGATGAAAAATTGGGTAGAAAAATTTCAAGGTCTGTACTCTTTGGTTAAGGAATGCTCCCTTTACTGTGATGGGTTGCAAGGTCTCCCTGGATGTCTGCATTGAGGACTGTTTCTCCTTTCCTCGCAGGGCTTCCAAGGCAAGGCGGGGCCTCCGGGTGGCCCAGGAGTGGTGGGAGCTCCGGTGAGTGATTCCTTGCATTTGAGGAGGGGGCGGATTTGGAACGAGAGGGGGTTGTGAAGCATGGATGAAGATAGGTTCCCCTCCTAAAGACACCCTTCCTCCCCTTCAACACCTGTCTCTTCCTCCCAAAAGGGCGCCTCCGGAGAAACTGGCCAGATGGGTGAGAGGGGCCACTCTGGGCCCCCCGGCCCCCCAGGAGAGCAAGGGCTGTCTGGGCCATCTGGGAAGGAAGGGACGAAGGTAAGAGGTGGACAGAGGGTGGTGGGCTGGGAATGGGAAAACACATAGTCAAAGGAAGGGGACCCCAAAGGGCATCCAGTCCAATCACTTTCCGTTCCCTTAGAGTTGGAAGGGGCTCCCAAAGGGCATCCAGTCCAACCTCCTGTCATCCAGGAAGATGCAATTCAAGTCCTTCCAACTGCAAAGGCTCTAGAGACTCCACTGGACTCTGAGGCAGTCTATTTCCCACCAGAGTTGGAAGGGGCTCCCCAAAGGCCATCCAGTCCAACCTCCATTCTCAGCTTCTGGAGATTCAGCAAAGCACAATCTAAAAGGAGACCATGGCATTTCTTCGGTGGGGGGGGGGGGCTGCATATCAGGTCCAGGGTTGACTTGGAGGGACAAACAATGTCATATACAGTGTTCCCTTGCTACTTCGCGGTTCGCTTTCCGCGGACTCGCTGTTTCGCGGGTTTTTGCCTCCCAGTTTATGAATGGTTGCCGTTGCCCAGAGTGGTGTTCTAATCCCACCTCCTGGCAACGATGGAGTGTGGAAGGGGGTGTCACCCTCCCCCTCGGGAGAGAGGCAGCTGATCAAGAGAGATTGCAAAGCAAAGCAGAGATAGGTAGCAAAAAAGGTGTGCAGTGACTTTAAATCTCTACTCACTTCTGTATATCGGAACATGATATACATATATAGCGTCCCTACTTTGCAGATTTTCACTTTTCACGAGTGGTCCTGGAACGTAACATCTGTGATAAGTGAGGGAACACTGTATAGATACATACTGGTATATACAGAGTGAATGAAGAATGCTCCTCAGCCATTCTTGTGCAACGTTTGAGCCTTCAGACGTCCAATGTGTCCAGCTGTGGTCAACTGATCATGAGGAATGCTGATCATGAGCTCTGGATCAGGCAATCTGTTGCAGCCTTCTTCCGCATTCACAGTCGTTGTAACATGTACCATGTTATCCTCCGCCTGCCCCGCCGTTGAGGTCTTTGGGTCTTCAGGCTGTGCTTGGTCTGGAACCTCCCCCCCGGCCACTCCTGCGAGTGCACGACTCTGGTTGTTGTGCCTGCAGGTTCATTGGAACACGCAAGCCTCCTCACCACCACAAGGCGACAGTCCATCATGCCACCAATGGAACCTCACTCTATGAAAACTGTGTTGATCAGTTGTGCACTGACTTCCACACATTAAAAAAACTCATGCGTCTTCCAAGGATCAGGCAATCCCATTGGCATTTTCTGCAGCTGTGCTACATGGGAATGGGTTCCGACTCCTGGGAGTGAATCATGTTTGCCTTCTTTCCCTTTTGCCTTTCTTTTCAGGGCGACCCTGGACTGCCTGGAGGCCCCGGGAAGGACGGTCCGGCCGGACTCAGAGGCTTCCCCGGAGAAAGGGGTCTTCCTGGGACACCGGTAGGGGGTTCCCCAAAACATCCATCCATTCACTGGGAGATGGGGCATAGAAACCATAGAATCCTAGAGCAGGAAGACGTTGGGCAACTGGCCTTATTAACAAAAGACTCTCCCCATGTATGTATAGCAGAGTAACTTATTAGCAGCAGCGTGACCCAGCACCAGTAGCCCAAAGTGATAAAAAGAACAGGAAAACCCACAAACCAATGTTATCTCTTGCATAGGAGGCTATAGCAAAAGAATATGGTTTCACTATTTACAAGAACAAGGTTTTCACCACACAAACAAAGTCCTTGATACTTCCTTCTTTGCTTCCATGCTGGGCTTCTTCCTCATGCAGATAAACAGCTTCGCTCTCACAGAGCCTCCTCTCACAACAAACTTATACAGGAGCTTCACACAATAGCTTTACACATGACTTTATACACGAGGTCTTCAACCTGGGGCATCTCTCACCAAAGCTTCTCACACCAGGCCTTCTCACACTCTGAGGCCTTCTCACAGATTAAGGCCTACCTCACACAAAGGTTTGTCTCACAGACTAAGGCTTACCTCATACTGTGAGGCCTTCTCTCACAGATTGAGACCTTTCTCCCAGAGGCAAATTAACACAGAGGTCTACTAAGCTACAGGCACACCTGCTTATATAGAACTACAGCTTTTGCTGTCATTGCATCTCTTTAACTCTTTCAGTGCTTGACTCACATTTTTGTAATTAAAAGTGCCTAGTTAATTTTTAATATTTTTAATATTTCTGACAGAAGGGACCTCTAAAGGCCATCCAATCCAACTTCTTGTCATCCAAGAAGACACCATCCAAACCAAAGCATTTAGCTGCTATGGGTTTTGATTAATAAATAATAGGAGGAGATAATGATGATGATGATGCCGATGGCTGTGTGGCTGAGCTCCATTTCTCTCTCTCCTCTCCCTTTCAGGGGGGACCAGGGCTAAAAGGCAATGAAGGACCAGCTGGACCCCCAGGACCTGCGGTAAGTACCTAATTTAAGCTCAACCAAGAGGCCATGAGATCACGCCGAATGCTCCTGGACTTCAGGACTTCCCATGGATTCGTTCAGAATGTCTAATTAATCTATTTTTCACTCCCTCCGTTCTCAAGCCTAATCTGGCTTCTTGGGAAAACTCCCCATCAGCTGAAGGCTGTTTCACAAGGGAACTGAAATCTTCACTTTCTGTTGCCTGGGAACGAGCATTGGAATCCCAAACAACTGCTTCCTTGGCCTGCAATTCTCTCTGATCACTAGCAGACTCTTCACTTTGAAACCCATTCATTCCCTCATCCTCTGAAAGATCATCAGGAAAATCCCCTGCTGCTTGCTGAGCCACAACAGACACAGGGATATTCTTCCAGGCAAGGAGGCCTGGCCAAAGTAGTAGAAGAGAGGGAGACTAGGGCTTCCCTCCATCTAGACTCCACTTGATACAGCCTGGAATTGCATTAGCCTTTTGAGCTGCTGCATCACATTCTGGCCAACTCTTCTGCTTGTGGTTCACTAATAAGACTTCTAGGTCTCTTTCTCATGGAGGTCTCACCCATCCTATATCTGCACCAGTTTGTGTACCTACTCTAGTTCCTATCCTTCTTTGGCTCTCTGATAGAAGCTTTCTCCTTGTCTTTCCAGGGGTCTCCGGGTGAGAGGGGGGGACCGGGCTCAGGAGGCCCCGTCGGACCCCCAGGAAGACCTGGTCCCCAAGGACCCCCCGGACCGGCCGGAGAGAAGGGCGTCCCCGTAAGTCAGGGTAATTTGGTGGTGGGGGGGTGAATGGGGGGCCTGTATCTGGTGGAAGAATTGGGGAGTGGCACCGGTTTCTGGAATGGCGTTCGTTGTCCCTACGGCATGCCTTTGCTGAATGTCGGTCAAATACGGGAGTCGGATTATTCCTCTAAATGTCTTTATTTATGTGTTTAATTTGTATCCTGCCTTCCTCCAAAAGTGAGATGCAAACCTTAAAGAACACAATGCATTTAAAACAGAATAGAATAAAAGTGCATTATAATATTTTGAAAGAGTTGGGGGCATAAAGGGAGGACTCAGGGATTGTTATTATATTAGAATGGCTTTGTTTGTTTCAGTTCTAGTGTATTTGGTTGGGGGGAATTTAAATTACATATTTTTAAAGTATTATATAAAATATTTAATAAAAATTAATTAAGATTTTTAGTAACATGTATTACATAAAAACATAAAAATAGTAAATAAAATTTATTAAATGACATTAAATAATTACTTGGTTATTAATGATTAATATTAAATACATATTAATAACAGCTGTCAAATTAACATAATGAAATTAATAAAAATGATAAAAATAATTGTAAATATTTTTTTTTTAAAAAATGCATGAATTAATACAAATTAATTTTTTTAAAAGACCCATCTCAATACAAAAGTTCAAATGCAACGAAAAGTGTGTTAGGATGTTATGGCTGAGTGCTTTGACTTCAAACAAACTCGTCAGCCTCATTTTTTGCTCACTTAGAGCGGCAATTAGGCTTTATTTACTTTCTCCAAATATATACAAGTTTGCACTCAGTCATGGTGTCGGAGACATATATATATATTGTCCTTATCAGATCTCATTATTCAGAGTTAGCCATATCCACTTCTACAATTAGCAGAAATTGATTTTTAACTGTTATGCATTCATCTATCTAAGGCAGGTATGGGCCAACTTGGGCCCTCCAGGTGTTTTGGACTTCAGCTCCCACAATTCCCAAAACACCTGGAGAGCTGAAGTTTGCCCATGCCAGATCTAAAGCCTTTGTTGTTCATTCGTTCAGTCGTCTCCGACTCTTCGTGACCTCATGGACCAGTCCACGCCAGAGCTCCCTGTCGGCCGTCACCACCCCCAGCTCCTTCAAGGTCATTCCAGTCACTTCAAGGATGCCATCCATCCATCTTGCCCTTGGTCGGCCCCTCTTCCTTTTGCCTTCCACTTTCCCCAGCATAATTCCCTTCTCTAGGCTTTGCTGTCTTCTCATGATGTGGCCAAAGTACTTCAACTTTGTCTCTAGTCTCCTTCCCTCCAGTGAGCAGCCGGGCTTTATTTCCTGGAGGATGGACTGGTTGGATCTTCTCACAGTCCAAGGCACTCTCAGAACTCTAAAGCCTTAACAAAGTGCAAATGCAGCCCAAGGTATAAATGCAGCCCAACTGAGCCATTTCTTCTGTCTCCCACCCCACCTGCCCCCCATTGACAGGGTGAGAAGGGGCCCCTCGGTCCATCCGGCCGTGATGGCGTTCAGGGTCCGGTCGGCCTCCCTGGCCCCGCAGGGCCCCCCGGTGGCCCCGGAGAGGATGGAGACAAGGTAAGAGGGCCCCATGTGGCCAGACCCCCATGTCCCCCAGGCAGGCATTCATCCCTCCCAAGCTGGCACTCCAACTCATGACCCCCTTTTCTTTCTCTTCCTCTTCCTCTTCCTCTCAGGGCGAAGTGGGGGACCCCGGGAAGAAGGGCCCCAAAGGAGGCAAAGGGGAGCACGTGAGTATGGACCCCAAAAGGGAGGAAGTGCAGAGCGGGAAGGGGGGGCCTATATTGCCTTTTTGTCCCCACCCCCTCCACCATTGTTGCTGTTGTTGTTCTATGTATATACATAAATTAATATATAATAGTCATAATTTCATCTCTGCAGGGTCCACCCGGCCCACCTGGACCCATTGGAGGCCTTGGTCAACCAGGAGCTGCAGTGAGTATAATGGGTCAAAAGTGTGTGTGTGTGTGTGTGTGTGTGTAGAATATATATATTCATATCTGCCCGGAGTCACCTGAATGTTGGAGGGACGCTACCCCCTGTCTTCATCCCTTCATTCGCTTTCCGTTCCCTCATAACTTTCCCCTTTCCCTTGTATTCCTTCTCTTCTTTTTCTTGCTTCCTCTCTCCTTCCTTCCTTCCTTCCTTCCTTCCTTCCTTCCTTCCTTCCTTCCTTCCTTCCCCGTCCTTCACCTCACACCTTTTCCCCTTTCTCTTCCTTCTTTTCCTCCTTTTTATTTATTTAT